AGCTATGTTTTTAAACTAGGAATTATTTTGATTGAATAATAAAACAGTTATTGAATTCGGCTTTCGTATCATATGAAGAATTATGGAGATCGAGGAGGGTGTTATCCGTCGGAGGGTGTTATCCGCCTCGGCCTACGGCCTCGACGGATAACACCCTCCTCGATCTCCATAATTCTTCATAAGATACTCAGCCTCATTCATTAACTGTTAAATATATATACAATGCACACATAATGACAAGCATAAGAAGCAGTATGTAACATCTGCATCACTTGGGGTGGTTCGGACAGAATCAGTGTAAGACTGCTAAAATTTGCAAATTTCTCAATATGTTCTTCAGTCACCAAAATACTAACTCTATGGATTCGCGCAAGTAGGTTTCTTGAAAGGTTTTTAGAGCAGGAAATTTTTTGTGAGTGGCTTTTTATCATTTTACACTAAGTCTTCTTTTTATCTTTTAATCATTTCTATTTTCAGGACCTCTCAAAAAATCACCCTGGTGAGAGAGTCTCCTGGTAAAAAATTATTATTATCACTGGTTAAGTGTCTGGGATGCCTTGGGGCTTTTTCTTTTGGCACAGAATAGAGTTATGCCCTCATGGCTGGCAAGTTGACTCCTCCAGGCCATGAGTTGCCACGCGAACAGAACCATGCCTCAAGTCACACTGACTAATCAGTGAGAAAAATAATAGGGGGAGAAAAATAAAAATGCATGGAGACTTTATTTTGAGAAGGGAACACTTAAGAGTTACAAGAAAAACTGATAAACTAGTGGCCCTGCAATGGAAATAAACTCACCAGTAAATCACTTTCCAAGAAGAGGAAAAGGATCCCATATAAGGAATGAACATCTTTCAAGTCATCAATAAGATTGAAAATGATTAATATCCACCGAACCAACAGAGCCTAAAAAAGGTTAACAAAATGAATATACCATATTACAAAACTGAAAAGGAATAAAGGTGTTGCTCTGTTCACCCCTTTTTTGGGTTACTGGATATTGTTTTGGACTTCAAAAAGATAACCAATGTTTAATTGAAACTTTTTTTAACTTTAAATAGGGTCAAGATTAACTGATTTAAGACTTTTTGTGGCACACACGGTCACCATGACACCTATCTTTAATTGAATGAAACATAACCCGCCTACTACTACTTCTACTACAAATAACAAAAATAAACATATTTTTAGAGGAGGCCTCCATATTTAAAAGTGGTTTTCAGGGAGTTCCTCTAAAACAAAATATAAAAATGAGTAACAGAAACATTAGATTGCTGCAATAACAGTGCCTATGGAGTCAACTTACGGGCAAACTACCAAAACTATACCTTGACGTTCATGGACAGTTTGTTGGTGCAAATCCTGGACACAGCTATCACAACAGCTAATGAAGGAACTGCCCCCTGAGGAATGAGGCACTTGATAATCCGGGAGGAGATACTGTCACCTAAAAAATTATTCCAGAGAAGCACAGTTCAGTAGATAGTACGGGAGAGTTATCGATTTCTCTTAGGGGTTGGTCGTATATTACCTGTGATGAGGGGCTGGCCATTTTGCTGGGGGTCATTTTCAAAATCTTGATTGGTTTTGGGGGGTCATTTTCACATAAGGGAGCAGGGGGGGGGTCATTTTAATAAGTTACTACAGAGGAGTAACAAAAGTGAATTGAAATTGAAAGTAACATGAGTAATTAGTAACATTAGTGTAACATCTCGACCGACATCTGAGGTCATCTGACATTTTGACTCACCATATTTTCCACTCGTTCCTAGCTTGACCAAATTCAGCAGTTGTTCGGGTTGAAGTCCATCACTGAAAGCTACACTTTCGATCTTCTCAACAGCAAGAGCAGTCTCGACCTTTATTCGAACTTTGGGAGCCGCTAGATCTATATTAGCAAAAGTTTAAAAATCAGATATGATGTTGTTCTCAATAAGAGGCCAAAGACGAGGATTACGGATAGTGACGTCGACATCGTGTGTAGTGTTGAAATTCACAGAAGTCATAAATACCTTGGTTCACCAGAAATGTTATGGCTTCATCAGCTGTAGTTAGGTTTGAAGAATCATTTGTCATGGTTATCCCAAAAGAGTTAAGGCAAAAGACGCCTGAACAGAGGTGTGATTTGTTATAAATAAACTCGATCGATCTGTTGTGAAAAACAAACTTTTCCCCAGGCGCGCCAAAATTCGAACCCGACTGATCCCAGAAACCTTTGCGACAATGTATCCCACATTGAACTCTGGGAAAAGACAACATGGCAGTCTGCAGTCAGCAATTTTTCTGGAAACTACGTACCTTAGTTACGTGAGTTTTAAAGAAAGAATGTTTTTAACACTTCAGTTCTTGTCCCTTTCGTGTCATCTACATCGTCTTCGTTCGTCGCCAAGAGCACTAAACGTAAACTACCTTAAAATCACCCCATTATAATGTATTTGGTCTGTGATCAGCTGGGGAAGTTTTTCCTACTCGTTGGAATGTTGTCCTTAAAAACAAGCATGGGTAATCCTGGAAAGGGAAATTTTGCTGCTGTTACTAAAGATGATCTGACTCGTTGGAATCAAATGACTTGCCAGTCTGTAAGTCATCTTTTCAAGATGAAGGAGCGTGTAGTCAACAAGTTGTCGAATTTACTAAGTTCAAATTCGAAAAACAAGCCGGCGAAACTTACGAGCGATCAGATACAGACGATTACTACTTTCAGGAATGAGCTAAACGTGACTGAGCGTGCGGTTTTTGATTCTCTCAACGGTTTAAGAAGGCTGCTTCAAGAGGACTATAAATCGGTCGTGCACATGAAAGAAGCTATAAAGCAACGTCTGGATGCCTTAAAAGTTCTTGCACTGCAGCAGGAGGATCAATTTAATGCCATTTCTGAAGCAGAAAAGGCCTATATAACTGCAAGTAAACATGCAGGTGTTCAGAGCAATAGAACACGCATAGAGAAAATTATTGGAGGTATCTTAGATGATGTTTCATTCGCTGCTGATAAACTTGAAGATGAATTAGATGAAAAGACATTTGAGAAAACACGAAATGCCAAGGGGGCATCCATTGAAGCTGTTGTGAGATTGAAAAATGAGGAGGAGCCTGATGATGATTCTAATCCTAACAAGACCTCGTTGACTGAGCCGGGTGAAGAAAATGATATGAGTATTCTTGTTGATTCTCAAAATAATCAGTTTGTTTTGTCAAAAGCAAAGGATGCGACTGTTCCACACGAAGATCTTCATTTTATCAAGGACATCATTTTTATTTTGCTCTTGTCCTTTGTGGGTTCTTGTGTTTGCTCACTTATTCATCTTCCAACAATGTTTGCATTTGTAATCAGCGGTATGCTTTTGGGACCCTCTGGAGCAAACATGATTAAGGTATGTGAGTTACTGTTATTCCGAGCTTGAAATAATTTCCCAGCTGGCACTGGTCAATTTGTCCGGTCAAACCTATATTTGCTTAGATATTGTCAACCCTTTTTTGGCCGCACAATCATCTATTACAATCTGAGTCCAGTCATCTGAGTCCAGTCAACCCTTTTAGCACAATCATTTCATAAATTTATAAAACATTATGTGAAGTTTTTTGTGTGGTCATTTTTTTCTTTTCCCTTTTTTTCCTTCACGAATGGCAATAATGTCCAATCTTATACCAAAAATAAGAACTTAATTTGCCATTAAAAGTGTATAAAACGACCAGAAAAAGTGTCTGGCCATCCAAGGATTTGACCGGACATTTAATATTGGCAGGCCATTACTTCAACCCTGTTATTTGTTTCCTAGAGGAATAGCAGTGGTGGCCACACCAGCCAAAATTAGCAGCACTCAACAAATTGTTTTTCTTTGTTCCACTGGTGAAAGGTCACCAAGAAAACACTGATCTACATTTTACACTCTTTCAAAGTCTTCAAAACTTTGCGGTCAAACCATCCCCTGCAGCTTGTGGTTTTACTTTTGTTTTGAACATTTTGACATCGTTTCTGTGGTGTGGAAAGTGAAATCTCTGGAGAATCAAAGATAAGTTCTACATGGAAAATCCCTCTTTGGCAAAGATCTAACTTTCTGCCTTTTTATTCTTGTACAAGTAAATGAAGGGTGTCTGGAATAAAGCCATAGGTACAGCTGTAATTTTTGATAAATTGCTGAATTCTCCTTCCATTTTTGTGAATATGCGTGTGAATTGGAGTGGGGAATTTCGTATCAAGTCAGGAGTTATTTAGGGCCTCATTCCACACATGCCTAATGATGTTACTTTCATAACTGTTATTATTTCCTTCTCAGTCAGTAGTTCAGGTGGAGACTCTTGGTGAGTTTGGAGTCTTCTTTATTCTTTTTGCTGTTGGCTTAGAGTTCTCACCAGACAGAATCAAAAAGGTAATGTGTGTAATACCTCATTTAGTTTAGCCAAGTTTGCATGCACACTTGCATAAAGAGAGAGAAGCACTACTTTGAGAAAAACTTTGAGGTATTTACCTCTTCTAGCATCAACTGAATTAGCTGAAAAAATGGTAAAATCAAGTTGCCATGCCAAAAGCATTATTTTTCTTGATTACCATACATTGTAGCTCGCCACAAAAAAAAAAAAAAAAACAGGCCATGAAAAAACATGTTTGTTTTGTTGAATTCAGGTTGAACTTTGTCTCCTAGGGCTAGCAGACAAAGAAAATTGAGAGTCAATGTAAGTCAAGTCAAAAGTAACCAAAAATCAAATTTGACTCACCACACCGTGCTAAGCAATCTATGCGTGATCCATGGGAGATGCAAATTTCCACAAATTTATGAACCTCACTGCATAAGAAATTAAATTGCGGCTGTTTGATTTCAATGATCAAGCTCAACAATTGTTCACTAAAATATAAGATGGAGCACAGTACTTATAGCCAATGTAAGTCTTGGCAAAGTGTAGTTGGTGCTTCTGATCAGTTGAAAATTTGCTTCATCCAATCAAAAGCACTACCTAGATCTGGGTAGTGGCATGTCATCACTATGAAATTTCTGCACTTGCTCCTCAGACAGCATTTGACGGGGAAACCAATAGAGGTGTCAAGAAATGTCAGCTGTTTTCACACGCTATGTTCACAGCAACATACAACTATTTCAGAAACCTATTGCCCAATTATGACTTTTTTTGTTACTTTCCTTTAAACATTGAGGAACCAATTTCTTTCCTAAGGAAACTGCCCATGAATCTGCCACATGGAATTGTATTGACCTGGTTGTTTAGAAACTGTGGTTTTTCTTTGCTTTCTTTTTTAAAGGTGTGGAAAGTTGCAGTTGGTGGAAGTTCCTTGATCATGGCATTGATGATTGTATTCGGTATTCTCTGGGGCTTGTGTTTTGGAATCCTGCCAAGACAGAGTGCTTTCGTCGCAGCCTGTCTCTCTCTTTCCAGTACACCTCTTGTTGCAAAGTTTGTAGAAAGCAAGGATGATGATCATTATGCTAAAGGTAACAGCAAAACCATTCTTTTTGTTTCTTAACTATATGCATATGCGCAGTACAATATATAGAGGATATTACATGGTGGCGAGAAGATATGAATTTTATGTTCGAGTGGCAAGAACAATATCTCACGAGTGAGCGAAGCGAACGAGTGAGATATTGTTTTTGCCACGAGAACATAAAATTCATATGTTCGAGCCAACGTGTAATGTTCTTTTTATTATATGGAGAAACCATTTCAACAAAAGCAAAAGGCGGGAATCGAGATGTCATTGAACGATACGACACTCACAAAGGTGACATATGGAAAATACGCCACTCGGGTCCCGGATGAAGTGGCGTATGGAATCTACGAGTGGTTTAGTTCCCAGTAAAACACTCTCCTCCATATAATAAAATAAATTATTTGTTGGTAGTGCTTCCTCGGATAGTAAGGAATTTTGTTGATCAGGTTGATTGTTCAGGGTTGTCATTAAGAGCTGGGGGCCGGGGATTTTCCCTGGCTACTAAGAGAGTGGCCTCCTTCTACTTTTATTGGAAAATAGAAGAAAAATAGAGCCAAAAGAAATCCCTAGCCATTTGATTCCCCGCCTACTTGTTGTGTTTACCCGGCAACTTGAAATCTTAGTGACAACCCAGTTGTTAGTCAGTAGACCAACTAGCTAAAAGGTGATTTCCATTGATTCAACAACAACAACTTTTTTTATTCAATAGGTTAAAACCTTGCACACAAAAGTGCTTTCACCTTTGTAGTTGCCATGACTATGAAAGGAAATTTTTTTGTGCAAAATCACACTATTATGCCGAGAATCGGATACTCAACAAAGATTTTGCTATGGGGAGGCTCCAACCCAAGGTCCAACCCATTTACCTCTTTCACATAATTAGTTTAGAAGACTGCATCCCTTTTAACTGTTGTAACTGCATGGTTTGTGTAATATGAATAAATCACTAAACTTGATTCACCTGTACAAAATGTAAGTTTTACCCTTTTTGGTCCTTTTTAATTTAGACTGAAATGACACATGTCCCTCGCCTTTCATATACTTCAACTGGTGAAATTCTTATGTCCTGAAATTGAGGGTTGTCCAATACTCACAAATAGACTCTATTGGTGTTAGTGGTGATAAGAAGGGTCTCCATTGGTACCAATGGAACGATTGGTAGCAATAGAAAATGATGTCATTCCAATGGTTCTATTGGTGAATATGCATCTCATTAAGCAGACTTAGATTATTTTCCCATGTGACCAGGTTGGGTAGAGGGCAATTCCAATGGTCCATTGGTACCAATGGTACGATTGGTACCAATGGAAAAGCACCCTATTCCAATGGTTCTATTGGTGAATATGCATCTCATTAAGGAGACTTAGATTATTTTCAGATGTGGTCCGGCTGGGTACAGGGCAATTCCAATGGTCCATTGGTACCAATGGTACGATTGGTACCAATGGAAAAGCACCCTATTCCAATGGTTCTATTGGTAAATATGCTTCTCATTAAGGGGACTTAGATTATTTTCTGATGTGGTCTAGCTGGGTACAGGGCAATTCCAATGGTCCATTGGTACCAATGGTACGATTGGTACCAATAGAAAAGCACCCTATTCCAATGGTTCTATTGGTGAATATGCATCTCATTAAGAGAGTTAGATTATTTTCTCATGTGGTCTAGCTGGGTACAGGGCAGTTCCAATGGTCCATTGGTACCAATGGAAAAGCACCCTATTCCAATGGTTCTATTGGTGAATATGCATCTCATTAAGGAGACTTAGATTATTTTCAGATGTGGTCTGGCTGGGTACAGGGCAATTCCAATGGTCCATTGGTACCAATGGTACGAATGGTACCAATGGAAAAGCACCCTATTCCAATGGTTCTATTGGTAAATATGCTTCTCATTAAGGGGACTTAGATTATTTTCTGATGTGGTCTAGCTGGGTACAGGGCAATTCCAATGGTCCATTGGTACCAATGGTACGATTGGTACCAATAGAAAAGCATCCTATTCCAATGGTTCTATTTGTGAATATGCATCTCATTAAGAGAGTTAGATTATTTTCTCATGTGGTATGGCTGGGTAAAGGGCAATTCCAATGGTCCATTGGTACCAATGGTACGATTGGTACCAATAGAAAAGCATCCTATTCCAATGGTTCTATTGGTGAATATGCATCTCATTAAGCAGACTTAGATTATTTTCCCATGTGACCTGGTTGGGTACAGGGCAATTCCAATGGTCCATTGGTACCAATGGTACGATTGGTACCAATGGAAAAGCACCCTATTCCAATGGTTCTATTGGTAAATATGCGTCTCATTAAGGAGACTTAGATTATTTGCTCATGTGGTCTGGCTGGGTACAGGGCAATTCCAATGGTCCATTGGTACCAATGGTACGATTGGTACCAATGAAAAAGCACCCTATTCCAATGGTTCTATTGGTGAATATGCATCTCATTAAGGGGACTTAGATTATTTTCTCATGTACTCTCGCTGGGTACAGGGCAATTCCAAGGGTCCATTGGTACCAATGGTACGATTGGTACCGATGGAAAAGCACCCTATTCCAATGGTTCTATTGGTGAATATGCATCTCATTAAGAGAGTTAGATTATTTTCTCAAGTGGTCTAGCTGGGTACAGGGCAATTCCAATGGTCCATTGGTACCAATGGTACGATTGGTACCAATGGAAAAGCACCCTATTCCAATGGTTCTATTGGTAAATATGCGTCTCATTAAGGAGACTTAGATTATTTTCTCATGTGGTCTAGCTGGGTACAGGGCAATTCCAATGGTCCATTTGTACCAATGGTACGATTGGTACTAATGAAAAAGCACCCTATTCCAATGGTTCTATTGGTGAATATGCTTCTCATTAAGGGGACTTAGATTATTTTCTGATGTGGTCTAGCTGGGTACAGGGCAATTCCAATGGTCCATTGGTACCAATGGTACGATTGGTAGCAATAGAAAAGCACCCTATTCCAATGGTTCTATTGGTGAATATGCATCTCATTAAGAGAGTTAGATTATTTTCTCATGTGGTCTAGCTGGGTACAGGGCAATTCCAATGGTCCATTGGTACCAATGGAAAAGCACCCTATTCCAATGGTTCTATTGGTGAATATGCATCTCATTAAGGAGACTTAGATTATTTTCAGATGTGGTCTGGCCGGGTACAGGGCAATTCCAATGGTCAATTGGTACCAATGGTACGAATGGTACCAATGGAAAAGCACCCTATTCCAATGGTTCTATTGGTGAATATGCTTCTCATTAAAGGGACTTAGATTATTTTCTGATGTGGTCTAGCTGGGTACAGGGGAATTCCAATGGTCCATTGGTACCAATGGTACGATTGGTACGAATAGAAAAGCACCCTATTCCAATGGTTCTATTTGTGAATATGCATCTCATTAAGAGAGTTAGATTATTTTCTCATGTGACCTGGTTGGGTACAGGGCAATTCCAATGGTCCATTGGTACCAATGGTACGATTGGTACCAATGGAAAAGCACCCTATTCCAATGGTTCTATTGGTAAAATATCGCCTCATTAAGGAGACTTAGATTATTTTTCTCATGTGGTCTAGCTGGGTACAGGGCAATTCCAATGGTCCATTGGTACCAATAATAATAATGGTACCAATAGAAAAGCACCCTATTCCAATGGTTCTATTGGTGAATATGCATCTCATTAAGGGGACTTAGATTATTTGCTCATGTGGTCTGGCTGGGTACAGGGCAATTCAATGGTCCATTGGTACCAATGGTACGATTGGTACCAATGAAAAAGCACCCTATTCCAATGGTTCTATTGGTGAATATGCATCTCATTAAGGGGACTTAGATTATTTTCTCATGTACTCGCTGGGTACAGGGCAATTCCAAGGGTCCATTGGTACCAATGGTACGATTGGTACCGATGGAAAAGCACCCTATTCCAATGGTTCTATTGGTGAATATGCATCTCATTAAGAGAGTTAGATTATTTTCTGAAGTGGTCTAGCTGGGTACAGGTTAATTCCAATGGTCCATTGGTACCAATGGTACGATTGGTACCAATGGAAAAGCACCCTATTCCAATGGTTCTATTGGTAAATATGCGTCTCATTAAGGAGACTTAGATTATTTTCTCATGTGGTCTAGCTGGGTACAGGGCAATTCCAATGGTCCATTTGTACCAATGGTACGATTGGTACTAATGAAAAAGCACCCTATTCCAATGGTTCTATTGGTGAATATGCTTCTCATTAAGGGGACTTAGATTATTTTCTGATGTGGTCTAGCTGGGTACAGGGCAATTCCAATGGTCCATTGGTACCAATGGTACGATTGGTAGCAATAGAAAAGCACCCTATTCCAATGGTTCTATTGGTGAATATGCATCTCATTAAGAGAGTTAGATTATTTTCTCATGTGGTCTAGCTGGGTACAGGGCAATTCCAATGGTCCATTGGTACCAATGGAAAAGCACCCTATTCCAATGGTTCTATTGGTGAATATGCATCTCATTAAGGAGACTTAGATTATTTTCAGATGTGGTCTGGCTGGTACAGGGCAATTCAATGGTCCATTGGTACCAATGGTACGAATGGTACCAATGGAAAAGCACCCTATTCCAATGGTTCTATTGGTGAATATGCTTCTCATTAAAGGGACTTAGATTATTTTCTGATGTGGTCTAGCTGGGTACAGGGGAATTCCAATGGTCCATTGGTACCAATGGTACGATTGGTATAATAGAAAAGCACCCTATTCCAATGGTTCTATTGGTGAATATGCATCTCATTAAGAGAGTTAGATTATTTTCTCATGTGACCTGGTTGGGTACAGGGCAATTCCAATGGTCCATTGGTACCAATGGTACGATTGGTACCAATGGAAAAGCACCCTATTCCAATGGTTCTATTGGTAAATATGCGTCTCATTAAGGAGACTTAGATTATTTTCTCATGTGGTCTAGCTGGGTACAGGGCAATTCCAATGGTCCATTGGTACCAATGGTACGAATGGTACCAATAGAAAAGCACCCTATTCCAATGGTTCTATTGGTGAATATGCATCTCATTAAGGGGACTTAGATTATTTGCTCATGTGGTCTGGCTGGGTACAGGGCAATTCCAATGGTCCATTGGTACCAATGGTACGATTGGTACCAATGAAAAAGCACCCTATTCCAATGGTTCTATTGGTGAATATGCATCTCATTAAGGGGACTTAGATTATTTTCTCATGTACTCTCGCTGGGTACAGGGCAATTCCAATGGTCCATTTGTACCAATGGTACGATTGGTACTAATGAAAAAGCACCCTATTCCAATGGTTCTATTGGTGAATATGCTTCTCATTAAGGGGACTTAGATTATTTTCTCAAGTGGTCTAGCTGGGTACAGGGCAATTCCAATGGTCCATTGGTACCAATGGTACGATTGGTAGCAATAGAAAAGCACCCTATTCCAATGGTTCTATTGGTGAATATGCATCTCATTAAGAGAGTTAGATTATTTTCTCATGTGGTCTAGCTGGGTACAGGGCAATTCCAATGGTCCATTGGTACCAATGGAAAAGCACCCTATTCCAATGGTTCTATTGGTGAATATGCATCTCATTAAGGAGACTTAGATTATTTTCAGATGTGGTCTGGCCGGGTACAGGGCAATTCCAATGGTCCATTGGTACCAATGGTACGAATGGTACCAATGGAAAAGCACCCTATTCCAATGGTTCTATTGGTGAATATGCTTCTCATTAAAGGGACTTAGATTATTTTCTGATGTGGTCTAGCTGGGTACAGGGGAATTCCAATGGTCCATTGGTACCAATGGTACGATTGGTACGAATAGAAAAGCACCCTATTCCAATGGTTCTATTTGTGAATATGCATCTCATTAAGAGAGTTAGATTATTTTCTCATGTGACCTGGTTGGGTACAGGGCAATTCCAATGGTCCATTGGTACCAATGGTACGATTGGTACCAATGGAAAAGCACCCTATTCCAATGGTTCTATTGGTAAATATGCGTCTCATTAAGGAGACTTAGATTATTTTCTCATGTGGTCTAGCTGGGTACAGGGCAATTCCAATGGTCCATTGGTACCAATGGTACGAATGGTACCAATAGAAAAGCACCCTATTCCAATGGTTCTATTGGTGAATATGCATCTCATTAAGGGGACTTAGATTATTTGCTCATGTGGTCTGGCTGGGTACAGGGCAATTCCAATGGTCCATTGGTACCAATGGTACGATTGGTACCAATGAAAAAGCACCCTATTCCAATGGTTCTATTGGTGAATATGCATCTCATTAAGGGGACTTAGATTATTTTCTCATGTACTCTCGCTGGGTACAGGGCAATTCCAAGGGTCCATTGGTACCAATGGTACGATTGGTACCGCTGGAAAAGCACCCTATTCCAATGGTTCTATTGGTGAATATGCATCTCATTAAGAGAGTTAGATTATTTTCTGAAGTGGTCTAGCTGGGTACAGGTTAATTCCAATGGTCCATTGGTACCAATGGTACGATTGGTACCAATGGAAAAGCACCCTATTCCAATGGTTCTATTGGTAAATATGCGTCTCATTAAGGAGACTTAGATTATTTTCTCATGTGGTCTAGCTGGGTACAGGGCAATTCCAATGGTCCATTTGTACCAATGGTACGATTGGTACTAATGAAAAAGCACCCTATTCCAATGGTTCTATTGGTGAATACGCTTCTCATTAAGGGGACTTAGATTATTTTCTCATGTGATCTAGCTGGGTACAGGTCAATTCCAATGGTCCATTGGTACCAATGGTACTATTGGTACCAATAGAAAAGCACCCTATTCCAATGGTTCTATTGGTGAATATGCATCTCATTAAGAGAGTTAGATTATTTTCTCATGTGGTCTAGCTGGGTACAGGGCAATTCCAATGGTCCATTGGTACCAATGGTACGAATGGTACCAATGGAAAAGCACCCTATTCCAATGGTTCTATTGGTGAATATGCTTCTCATTAAGGGGACTTAGATTATTTTCTGATGTGGTCTAGCTGGGTACAGGGCAATTCCAATGGTCCATTGGTACCAATGGTACGATTGGTACCAATGGTACGATTGGTACCAATAGAAAAGCACCCTATTCCAATGCTTCTATTGGTGAATATGCATCTCATTAAGAGAGTTAGATTATTTTCTCATGTGGTATGGCTGGGTAAAGGGCAATTCCAATGGTCTATTGGTACGAATGGAACGATTGGTACCAATAGAAAATGATGTCATTCCAGTGGTTCTATTGGTGAATATGCATCCATTAAAAAATAAAAATCTCCGTCGATTCATATGTTTATGAGTGATAAGGAGACATTCAAACTTCTGCTGTTTTTCCACGGCAACGGATGCAATCCTGAAATCATCAGTAGATGGATTCTTCTAGCTCAGTCCTGGGCCTCATCGCAAGCTACAGCCGAGAAAAGAGCACGGCAAATACAATTTGTCAAGGACAACGTTGACATTAAATACATCAATGGTTTTACTACGACCTTGATTATAGCAAACTGGTGTACCTCAATGGGTTACCACGACAAACCCCACGTCAACAGTCAAAAGTGACTTCAGTCACTTGAATATAAAACGGCTCTCTTAGGAGCAACAGCATGATATAACCACCCTTTTCGGAAACTCTTCATTGAAAACTTGTTTTGGTTTAAACGCTTCCTTGTAGATAATGAAATTGCGCTAAGGAATTTCAGAAGTTAATTTCACAGTGAGTTGAGTACAGTTGTTAAAACCTGTTGCCTCAATACCACTTTGCTAGTTTCGCGCTTTTTTCCGCGTTGTTTCGGGTTCTTTTAACAAGTAAGAATTACCGAAAAATAGTGCTTGCGTGACAGGAAAGAAGACATTCATATGTCATGTTGTTGTTTGCTCGTGAATCATAATAAACAGAACGAACACGACAGTGACGCGTTACCTTTCAATTTTAATGTTCGTACGATGTTTCTTATACTCGCAGCACCTTGAGATATTATTAGCGCTAGATATATAGGTCGCCTCGCTTTGTAACTATTAGCTGCGTTTCTACTTTGTGTGAAAGCGAACTTGTTTTTGCGGTTAGCCTATAGAACGAGGAATATTCATAAGAATTATGGCGCGTTTTTAATTGGTGTAACAGCGAACTTGTTTTGCGTGGTTGGCTTATAGAACGAGGAATATTCATAATAATTATTAGCACGTTTTTACTTAGTGTAAAAGGCAACTTGTTTTGTGTGGTTGGCTTATAGAACGAGGAATATTCATAATAATTATTAGTTCGTTTTTACTTGGCGTAAAAGCGAACTTGTTTTACATGGTTGGCTTATAGAACGAGGAATATTCATAATAATTATTAGCGTGCTTTTACTTGGTGTAAAAGCGAACTTGTTTTGTGTGGTTGGCTTATAGAACGAGGAATATTCATAATAATTATTAGCATGTTTTTACTTGGTGTAAAAGTGAACTTGTTTTGCATGGTTGGCTTATGGAACGAGGAATATTCATAAGAATCATAGCGCGCTTTTACTTGGTGTGAAAGCGAACTTGTTTTGCGTGATCGGGATATAGAACGAGGAATATTCATAAGAATTATAGCGCGCTTTTACTTGATGTAAAAGCGAACTTGTTTTGCGTGGTTTTCTTATAGAACGAGGAACGTTCATAATAATTATTAGCGCGTTTTCACTTGGTGTAAAAGTGAACTTGTTTTGCACCAATAGAACCATTGGAATGGCATCATTTTTCATTGGTACCAATCGCACCATTGGTACCAATGGACCATCGGAATTGCCCTTTACCAAGCCAGGTCACATGGGAAAATAATCTAAGTCCCCTTAATGAGATGCATATTCACCAATAGAACCATTGGAATAGGGTGCTTTTCCATTGGTACCAATTGTACCATTGGTACCAATGGACCATTGGAATTGCCCTGTACCCAACCAGGTCACATGGGAAAATAATCTAAGTCCCCTTAATTAGATGCATATGCACCAACAGAACCATTGGAATAGGGTGCTTTTCTATTGGTACCAATCGTACCATTGGCACCAATGGACCATCAGTTTGACGAATCGTATCCGTTTGTGTTTATTGGACATGATTGCTGAAATTCGCTTCTGTGACTTCCACTACCCCTTATGAGCGGAGCCTTCCTGTATATGCCAAAAAGGTAGTACCCCACGTCCCCTCCACTTGGACTGTTATGAAAGACTGCAATCTTATTCTATGAGCCCTTTAAGTAAGTGCAGCTTTTGTTTGTTACCAGAGCATACCAATGGCAATGGAGATTACACCAGTTCCCTGTTGGGAATCCTTGTCATGCAGGATGTCCATTTAGGTTTGTTAGTTGCTCTTCTGCCTGCTATTGCTGGTCGAAAAGGCGTGGCCCCATCCAAGGGCAACACTGGAGTGGTACATAATATTCTAAATGGACTTGAAAACGAAAGTGATTCAGGTAACTTGGGTTTTTTAATAGTGATTGCAAAACTGTTTCTCCCTATTACAGGGCTCGAAAAAAGTCCAGTTGGGTTGTTGGGGACAAGTAGATTTCATTGCATGGCAAGTAACTATTAAACCTCACTAGCCCAGTGGTCAAGGATGCAAGCAAGTCAGCCTCTGACAAAATAATTAACTATGACAAGCAAGAAGTGGCCTCTGGCAAGCAAAATTGTGAGGGCTGCTTGCTCAAAGGACTTGCTTGAATTCAAGTTTTTTTAAGCCCTGCTATAATTTATTCTTCAAACACCAATAATTTAGAAAGATCTTCGGAAATTATCTTGTGTCTCATTGCTTGCTCTTTATTTATTAGCTGAGTTTATTTGTACCCTGAGGATGCTGTTTGAGGTCGCACTTTCCTTTGCTGGGCTGTTGGCAGTGTGCTTTCTGTTTTCAAAGCTAACTAGACCACTGTTCAGGTACATGAACATACCTTCCAGTATACAAGTTCCACTGTTTGGATCAGATCTCATTTAGAATTGCACAGTGTAACAACCAGCATAATCCATATTTGCGCCTAAATTAAACCTTCCAGAGTTAAGCCACTTAAGAACAAATGGTGTCTTTGAGCAACATTACCTTACAGATTAGCCTGCCCCTACAGAAGATACAATGTGAAGTGCTCAGAGTATTGAAATCATTTTTAATCTCATGACCAATTCACACCCTACGGCTCTGAAGCCTCTCTTGTGCAACTTCAACTTTTGCATCACTTTCCATGTCATTGCTGAAAAATCATGTTGATGGGAAATTTGTGCAGGACAAAGAAAACTTTGCAAATCATGCTCAGATGTGAGTAGTAACATTGAATGGGCCAGGCTCAAAATACATGCAAAACAATAACAAGAAAATTTGGCTGGTTGCTATCAACTTGTATTGCCTTGTTTTTCTCCAACATTTCCAATGGAATTCATAGATCTCAAAATACAGAAAACAGTCATAACATGAAAACCCTCTCTAGGATTTTTTTGTTTTGATTGTTCTATCTTGTTAAGTAAACAAAAACGAGTTAAATGAGTAGGAGTATTTTTTTGTTTTTCTTCAGATTGCTTCAAGGTTCAGTCAGTAAAGAGTTGCTGACATTAGCAACAATATCAACAGCATTTTCTTTATTAATGGTAAGTTTGAAAAGTGAACTGATGTTGGGCAATATAACATATAATCCTACATGTAACTAAAACAACAATGATAACTGTGACAAAAGACAAATCAAAACACACCAATCCAGGGTTGTCACTAAGATTTCAAGTTGCCGGGTAAATACAACAAGTAAGCAGGGAATTAAGCAGCTAGGAGTTTCTTTTGGTTATATTTTTCTTCAGTTTTCCTACAAAAGTAGCCAGGGGTTATATGCATGGAAGCCGGAGGGAATCCCTGGCCCCCAGCCCGTAACGACAGCCCTGCCAATCACATTTAGAGGTCTTAATGACCCATAATATCATGGCTTAACTGAAAGATGACCAAAAACATCCTGACTTTCTGTAATCAACCAATCAGGTGAATAACCAGAGTTTACCATCAACTGACATGTTACAACTTACTTTAACTTTGAAGATGACTACTATGTAGGTTGTTGAAATGTCAGTCACTGTCAACAAAAGCCCTATTCAGGAGTATACTCCCCGGAATGATCATATTCCACTAACCCGAGATGAGGCATTCTTTTTTCTCTCTCAAAGAAAAAGGGAAGAAGGACCACCGATCATAGGTTAATATTTCACTGACTTATAATATGAAAGTGTTAGCAACACAACAATCACAGGGTTTTCATTAATTTGGATTTGAAGGATGTCCAAGTTCTCCATTTTGGGGAACGTAGGATTTTTTTATGGAGTTTTGTCTTTCCACTAGTGGCAAAGATTTTACAGAGATGAGCAGAGATGCTACTTATGACATTATGGAGAATATCAGTAAAATTAATTTATTTGTCTAAAGTTAGATAGATGTCATCATATTGGGTGCTATGTATAGAGATATTGTCTCGGAGGCTGGTTGTCTCACTGTCACTTTCGTCCCCCTTCCCTAGACAATAATATTAGCCCCAGACTACAAGCCCATTCAGTTAGGCTAGGCTCACGTTTACATAGCCTGCGAGCAAGCTCTCCAGGGCATTCTGGCGGCGGGGTGGGAAAAGGAAGGAGAGCTTACAAGTACATCTCTGGAACTTGAATTCCACCTCCAATTCCCTTTTAGCTCCCCATCGACTGAGCTGTCAGATTTCCACCAATCAGAAACAAGCCGACATGAAAAAGCTATCCAGTAAAAAGTGAACATATCCGCGTAAGTCACTTGCAAAATAATGTTGTCATCACTGTAGTCATCTTTTTTTCCCAGCTGTCAGAGCACTTAGGAATCTCAATGGAGCTTGGCTGTTTTATGGCTGGAGTTGTGTTGAGTTCCAATGGAGAGCATCTTGTTCATCAGGTATATACTTTATTACTAAAATCCAACTAGTGGTCTATTATCAATGCTGCGTTGTGATTGGTTGAGCTACTACTAGGCTATATGTGATAGCCCACTAGTAGGGCAAAGCGCCGGCTTTTTGGCGGCAAAAAAGGGTTAAAGTCTAGCTTTAACTAGCTAAAGTTGTTTTGTCACGATATTTTTGACCAACTAGTTGGATTTTACTAAAACAATATTATTATACTTCTTGCCCTCATGGCCTCTGAGTCAATAGCCCATTTGGCCTTCAGCCTCATGGGCTATTGACTCATAGCCCATTCAGGCTCGATGAATAATTGTTATCCGTACATACTATCCCACTTGTTGATTATTTTTGCTCTTTCTTGCATTCAAAAAAGTTTACAATTGATTTTGGGCAGAGAATGTCTAACTTGACACTTATTTGAAATTTCTTCCATAGGTGAATGAGCTGCTTGAACCACTTCGTGATTTCTTTGCGTGTTTATTCTTTGCATCTATAGGTAAATATTAATGATGATAACTACTAACTAATTACTAACTAATTACTGTGCATTGCGTTGCATTGCATTTTACAGTCAAAACTTCCTAATGAAGACACCAAAGTGACAGAACCATGTGTCCTCATACCATAGTTGTCCAAATGAGTTTGAGTCTGGGTCGGTATCGCATCGAAATGCACTATGGGACTGTTTTGGGAATGCCGCCAGAGCGTCTTTTATTGGCTGATATTGGGTTGCTGAGGAAACTGAGTTAGAAACCTCGTACCTCAAAACAATCCCGTAGTCTACCTCAACACAACACTGACCCAGTCTCAAGAGCAGCCTTGAAATGGCCAATAGTTATAAAGGAAGAAGTTGTATGAAGCTTCCCAACTATTTTACTATATTCCGCAAGAGGTTTGACAGACTGCATCTTTCACGCAGTCGTCGAAAAAATTCGGGAATTCAGCATTGAGATTCGAATCCATAACATCTGCATTGCTCCTGTCTACATCCAAATTACGACGGAAAATAGGACTTGCTAGAGGGGAAAGCGATACCAGTGCATAGATCTTACTTACTAAGCCTGCGCGCAGGCTCACGTGTGCGGGTTCGGGAAACATTTTGGCGGCAGAGCCTCTATCGCGCGAGGAACTCACACAAGTGAACCTGCTCGTAGGCTATTACTGAGCCACGGACCAAAGGACCTGGTCAACTGTAGGCTCATATGTAGTTGCGCTGTGCTTTATTTTGGGTCAAAGGTTGTCTCCTCGGTGGAGGTCTCTTTTGTGCCACTGTCAGCTCTAAATCACGCAGCGAATGGGAAGAGGGAAAGAAAGCGCGCGGGGAACGATGGGAAAGGGGAAGCTGTGTCGTTGCGTTCTTTTTTTTTACTGATCCCTGCGCGGCCTAGTTGGAGCCTCCGCAAATGAGTTAGTGGTAAAACGGTTTGTGAATGACTTTTTGTTGAAGATTAAATAAATCTTTTCTGCAGGTCTTCATGTCTTTCCAACGTTCGTGCTTACAGAATTTCCTCTTGTATTGACTCTTACCCTTGGAGTCGTTTCAGTGAAGGTAGGCGATAAAAGGTGGAATGCACAATTTTTTAGTTACGATCCTTTCCCCGTATATAATGATGTTATTTTTATTATGCGAGCAAGAATGAGATCTTGAGCTTTGTGGCAAAGTTCTTGTTGTCAATTGTTAGAGTGGACCAGAGTAAACTTCGGAGGAGTCAACTGAAATTAAAGTTACACAGCAGTACTTTCCTCTCTGTCTTATCTTCCATGTTACCTTTTTTATGCAATAAGCAAACTCCGTCACTTGATAAATAAACCACAGCAGCTCGCTCTTAAAACCTCAACTTTTGAGTCACGTCACATAATTTGATGAAAACCATTTTTTGATAGGGAACGTGTGAAACTTAACAGTTAAAGTCGCTCCTCTCTTAACTGGCGCCTCAATAGGAAAAACACACCTGTAAAATGGACACCTGCCTCCCTGCCGTTTTTACTTCATTTTGTTTACTCTCCTTTAGACGGTTACCTCGCCAGAATAGATACTGTAAATCCTCTATTTAGCCCCCCACCCCCTCTCAAATAAGCTATCTGGTAGGGTATGAACACCTATCTGATACAGCTATTTCGAGAAAGGTTGTCGGATGAAGTGCACGCGACAACCCCGAAAGGTATTGTGGGTGGTTTTGAGTTTACTGTTTTTCAAAGAAATTTGAAAGAATAGCAGGAGAGGCCAAGGACATATGTCTGCGAGTGCTAAAGGAAAGCAACAAAAATAGGTTCGACAGCTACAGTGTCAGGAACAGTGTATTGAGCATATCCCATATTTCGACAGCCTTTCTCGAAATCGCTGTATGTGACTCTCCACTTTAGAGATCGGTGCGGCACAGCTTCGCTCTGTCACCGACAGAAATCGCACCTAGATCATCGTGATAGACTGTATTAATTAACGTGTTTGAGCTTTTTCACTTTGTGTTGTAGTTCCTTATGGAGAGTTTATAACATCTTCTGGTTGTTTGAAAAAGCAGTATAGCGCTCCGTTTTGTCAAATTAGATAAGTCCCCATCTAAAATAAGCCCCCCTCTATTTCAAGCGCCCCCCTCGAACGTGCTTGAAATAAATAAATACCGCCCCCTCCCTAGGGCTTAATAGAGGATTATGGTACCTAGAGTTGCTCCCTGCCTTTCCTTACTCCTTTTCGTTGCTGCGCTTTGCCAAAACACGCGAACTCTGAAGTTCCAAAGCCGCCTTTACAACTGTGTTTTTCGCTGCCGTCAATCATAATTACGATTACAAGCAACGAACCTTAAAACACAGAAACACACAAAACGGCTCGCAATCCACCAATCGCAAATCACAAACCATGACCTTTTGAACCCGTTAAAGTAAACTTCTTTCTCATAAGAGGTCCTTTAAGGTGATTGATGGCAGGGAAACGCGTACACGTCAGTTGGCTTTTGAACTTCAGAATTCACGTGTTTTTGAAAAGCGCAGTAACTCTCCACTAGAGGGACATCTGTTAGTATCCGTGATGCACATATTGCTGGACATGATGCACATGATGTAGGAGACTTGACAAATACCTTTCTTAATCTCTTTTCATCTCGCTTTCTTTTCAGTTCATTGTCTCTGTGTTAGTCCTTCGGTTATTCTTGTGTGAAACAAGAAACACGAAGTATATAGTGGCCGCAGGTTTGGCTCAAGTTAGTGAATTCTCATTTGTCCTGGGAAGCAGAGCACGAAGGTTTCATCTTATTTCCAGAGAGGTATGTTTTCCTTAAGATTCAAGAAATTACCTTGTCGAAGTGCCGGAACTTAGCTGTTAACTTTAACTATAAATGAAGTCGAAGAAGAAAGAGGCCTGTCTTACTCTACTGAAGCAAGATTGCCTTTTGTTTGCCATCTGTGTATAGTCGTCTAATATGACTGACACGCCTTTTGTCGCTGACAGGCACGTGACCTGCTTGATGCAGAAATCATGGGGTACAAATTAAACAATACCAGAGATGGAGAGAGCATAAGAAATTTAGCTAAAAAGCTAATTTCGATGTGACTGGATGTTGGAATGCCTACAAAATTTTGAAAGTTTATTAATGTATGGAGACTCTGCAGGACTGCAAACCATGCAATGCAGCCCAGCAACTTTTTCCTTTGATACATATAATATTTTCCCATTATTCAAAGCACCATAAAATCACACTATCAAGAGTTTAAAAACCACTAACTGTGTTACGTTCTTTCAATCTCTGTTATTTTTAAGGTTGTATCCCACAATTTTCCGGGATTCAAGCCTCACCCGTCGCGTTGTTTCCTTAGACAAGGAACTTAACTCCACTTTGTCTCTCTTCACCCAGGTGTTAGCCTGCGAGCAAGCTCTTCATTTGGGGGATATCGTGGAAAGTAGACGCGCGAGAGGAGACGCGAAAGCGGGGGCCGCTCGCTCGCGCGTTCTCGCGTGGCTCACTTCTCTCGCCCAAATAGGAGAGCTTGCTCACAGGGTACCCGGGAGTATAAATGGCTACTGATGTCATATTGCTGGGGAGCAACCCTGTGATGGATTGGCATCCCGTCCAGGAGGAGTAGCAAATACTCCCAGGCATGCTTCATGCTAAGGATTTCGGGATAACCTCCGGGCATGTGGGTCTTTGGCTCGTGTGCACCTTGACCTTTTACCTACCTATCCCATAATTTTGGCATAAGATAGGTCACGTGACCCTGAGCTGTATGGGGCCTGTTGACTTAAGGCTAAAGAAAATGATTCATTTTTCGCCTTAGCGAGGGGACGAAAATAACTGTGAATTCGTTCATTGAGTGGTTGATATATGTTTTTTTTTTCCAGGTTTATCTTATTATCCTTAGCGTTACTACCATCAGTCTTCTACTCGCTCCGTTACTTTGGCGAATTTCTTTGTGGAGATTTGGAGGCCGAAAAATTTGGAGATCAGCTAATTCAGAAAGGACGAGCAAAAGAACTGCGAGGACTGTATAGCTTGGACTCCACGAGTCATGAATGACTATTTTAAAATGCATTTCTCTTCCCAGTAGTTCACAGGCACTAAGCGCACAGCCGGCAAATGTTACGTTTACGCGTGCCTTTTCGCACATCGCACCTACTTTTTTTACGCGCGTAAAATTTACGTCCGTACGCACGTAAAAATTAACCGACGGTGGAAAATCCACCCTAAGCTAGATGGCGAGTGTTGTATGATAATACAATTATTAGGAGCCGTGCCTCTCCCCTCTGCACAGGCCTCTTTGTGCGAGAGAGAGCTGGGCCGAAGAAGAAAAGAGCGGGGAACGATGGAAGGGGAAAAGAGAAGGAGGGAGCCATCGCGTTTTCCCGCGCGCTCTTTTTCCTTCTTATTTTGTTTGTGACTGGAGTTAGCCTTTTCGGATAAGAGGGAGGAGTCTTCTGATGAGTATTACAGTTCATTCATTACAAATTAAAAGGTATATAAGGGTCGGTTATTAAAACGAAGTTTATCTTAGTCCCGCGGTTTAGCAAATCGTTCAACCTCAAGATACACCTAATTGCAATAACGTTGTCTGAGACAAATGAAAAAAGGAAAAAGCCGAATAGGAATTAAATAGGCTAATTAAGCCATATTCTCATGGTGGATTCATTTGCAGTCGTTGCATTTCCCCGCTGGAATTTTTAATTTTATTGTCTTTCAGCTTTAAAACAATAGCAAATTCCAACAGCCAAATACGACGTCCATTTGCGGACGCTGGCAATGAATTCATTAGGCTTATCACCCTGATTAATTCCTATTTGCCTTTTCCCTTTTTTTCATTTTCCTGTGACAACGTTTTTGTAATTGGGTGTATCTTCCTTAGTGGGTTGTTTTAAAAAGACAAATGCTTTCCTTGTCTACGCCATATGCGTTTATGACACTGTTCACAAAAGCGTAAAAACGTTGGGCAAACTGAAAATGACTTAGAACGGGGTTTTGTTAAACTCCGTTGAAGTGACTGGCCCTAAATGTTTGTTTATAGTTTATAGGTACTCAACTTAAATAATTAGGAACACATTATCCAAACAGAACGTAACTTACTTGCGATCAGGAGCGCCTGGTCGCTGGTTAGAACATAACAAGATTAAAAACCCCAACTGGCAGGAGGCATCCAGTTGGCTGTTTACATTAGTGGCCGAGGATTTAAACTCAGGACACCCGAGTACAAATCCAGCAAGTAGCCAGAGCGGGACTCGAACCCGGGACCACCGGATTGCAAGTCTGACTTACCGAGCACTTGGCCACGCTGCCTCCACATTATAAACTAATTCGTCCTCCAGCCTTTTGTTTTTCCTTTTTTTTTTTCTTTTCTTCTCAATTCCTTTTTTTGAAGGAATTCAACGACAGCGAGGGCAAAGCATTCGCGCGAGGGCGAGGGCGAACACGGAGCCACCCTCACGCCCTCAGCACCTTCTTTCGCAAGCAGTGAATTTCCCGCGGTTTTAATTTTCGTACGTGCACTCGACTATCTCTAATTGACTAAAGAGAAAAGTGCATGTCTGTGAACAGACTTGTTTTAAAAAGTTATTTTATTTAACCTTCTTTGGATAGAGATAAAATTTGTTTTGCGGAGAGCGTCATTCCGCTATTTAATTTGCTTCGGAAAACGAAACAAAAAGGACCCTGCTTTTTTTGGGGGGGGGGGGGGGGGGAGAGGGCGGTGGGAAAGGATTTAGTCCTTAGGGACGGACCATTAGAAAACTTATCGGGGGGCGGGCGAAGTATAAAAAACGAAATTCGCTCAAGGGAAAATTAAATGAAAAAAAAAATATTGCACGCCAATTAACCCTAAAAAGTATTCATGCTATGGCCTAAAAAAAATTCATACAAGGAATTTGATAACGAAAAAAATTCCTGCGGCTCGAGAATTCCCCTCCCCCCCCCCTTAACTTTTCTAATGGTCGGTCCCTTAAGAGACATTAGAATCAAAGGGGGATTTCCTCATAAGTAGTGACAAACAATTATTTTTATAATAAACAATTGAATTTGATTTACTATTTATACTACTCTAATATTACATTTGGGTATAGAGATATGTGAAAATACATTGATTATGAGTATAGAATAATAAAATATGATGATTGTTCAATGAAAACTAGAACCATTTACCCTGTTGAAAGTGTTTTGTTTAACCTCATTTGTCTGATTTAGCCGGGTTTTTGCTGCAGCAGTGGCACTGTGAATGTGGTTTGTGGTCTAACTCAATGCATGGTTAAACGTAAAAACTGAGTATTTTAAGGCTAAGAGACGAAGTGTTGCGTAAGTTTCCTTTTTTTGGCTGCCAAGTGATCTCTTTAATTACTTTTAAGAAGCAACTGTCTATGATCTGAAAGGCCATTTTTAGGGGGAGAGGGTGGGGGAGATCCTGGACCCTTCTTCTGAATCCACACTGTTTTCCTTGTCCGCAAAAAGCGCGTTACACTAGGCTATGTCAACTGAAGTCTGTTTTGGTTTATAAACTCTGTTTCCTAACTTATCCACTCGGGAGACCATTTACGTAGACTGAAAACAAGCTCTCCGATTGGTGGATATCCTAAAAAACAGAGCGACGTATGGGTCTCGCGGATCGCTTCGCTCGTCTCTCGCATAAGAATGAAAGCCGTGCACGAATAACTTTATATCTGTTGACATCCTTAAACGTGACATAACCTTTAGAGGAATTCCTTTATTTAAATTGAAACAAGCTTTTTACAATATTTTATTCAATAAATGTAGCTATTAGTTTTAAAGATAAAAATGCGATAGGTTTTGAATTATGAAATAATAATAATAATATTATTAATATCAATAATAATAGTAATTGAAAATAACAGTTTAACTACTAGCCCAGTATTAGTTCCCTCGGCTTAATTGTTAAAAATTACGTAAGACTTGCAGATTTGGGGAACACGTGACCATGTCAGCTTCCTGGACAAAAAACGTTGGAAACGAGACAAAGACTAGGCCCCAGTCCACACCTGTCCGGAAATAGTCGAACCTCGTCGAACCCCGCTTCACAGAAGCTTCACGGACACCCGCTAAATACGAACACCTCGTTATTAAGGACAGTTTTCTTTGTCCCTCTGGGGAAAGCCCTTACAAATACTCTAAATTCAACTCGTTTAGCAAGGACACCTCGTTAATGTGGACAACGGACGCTTTTTCTTGCCTAATCAGCATTAGATTCTCAGATCATAGAAAGTCAAACTCACTAATGCGGAAGCTTTATTATCAACTGTATGACGCAGTTGCTAAATGCCTCGTTCTTGGAATAAATTTTCTTCTAACCCCCCCCCCCCCCACCCCATTTCTTTTGTTGCTGACATAAAACACTTACTATCCTTCATGTGGCACCAAATGCGTAAAAATTGTTTCCACCAAAAAATAGAACGGCCACAATTTTCTTCGAAAATTACCTACACGGTCGAAACTGTTCTTTCAAAGTTTTTTTTGGTACTGTACTCTGTTTGAACTCAAGGGTACAATAAAATCTATACATCATCAATTAAACGAATGGAAGTTTGCGAACACTCGATAATCCTTTTTTACCAGTGTTTCAGGAAATGTAAAAGTTCAGTAATTGGACCGATTTAAGAGGAATTTAATTGCAGCAGTATGAACGAACTACTGTTGACTCCCGATAACTCGAACCTCGCGCTAACTCGAACCAAACATTTACTGTAATTTTACCCTCGGTAACTCGAACTCCTCGGTAACTCGAACCTTCCACTAACTCAAAGAAATTTTTGTTTCCCCTCAGATCATATCTATATAATTTTACCCTCGATAACTCGAACCATGTTTTGATACCTTAAAAAGTCGGGAAAAAACAGTGAACTGGCGTCCGAAACTGATTGAATTTTGAATTCCCCATTGACGTGTTGTAGGCATATAGTTAACTGACCTTTACTAGTGGATCGATAGTGGAGGCTGATGTTGTTTGTCACAAATCTTAAGTGAAACAGCTTTACTTCTCAAAAATGCATGCTCTATTTAGGCAACGTTTTGTTACTTTACGTTCTGATTTATAATCTAGAAGTATCGTTCAATTTTCACTTAACATTTCTACAATTAATGTGATTGAAATGTTCACTGTGCAGTAAAAACTGTTTTTTTTCCTTACTCCCGACTATTTTCTTCGAGCTCCCGATAACTTGAACTTTTTTCGCGTTCCCTTGAAGGTTCGAGTTATCAGGAGTCGACTGTATTAATAAATGAAAGATCTTAAGAATTCGCGTAGGATGAATGTAAATTATTTCTTTTTGTCTGGTATAAATATAGCAGTAATTTTCCTTGAAACTGATACTGAGTTTTATATCGAAGAAATTCAAAACGCTAAGAATTAATGACAATAGAAACTGTTGCCCAAAATGGCTTTTAAAAATAAGATATTTTTTCAGTGCGAGGAGCTGATTCTGACTACGTGATGGAAGTTTAGTTGTATGCATCGCAACATTTCCAAGTATAATAAGTTATTAGTCATATTTTACTAAAACTAAAATAAGGAATAGTAATCTACAAATGGAGACACTGTTTTGAACATTTCCCTTCAAAATCGATTTTATTTAGTTAATTAATTTAGTAACATTCACCAATAAAAATGGATGCATGCCAAAATGTATAATTCCACAAAAGATGGAAACTTCAAATTTGCTCATAGACGAAACATAATTCCTACATTTGGTTCTTTCAAGTCTGAGTCTGAAGGCTGATTACATTTCGCTTTCATTTACAATAATGTAAACTAAAGAGAATTATAAATGTACAGTTCAACTTATCTGTAACAATTCAGAAAGAAAACTTACTTGTTTCAGTGTAAAACAATTCGGTCCAATTTTGGAACAAACCTCATGAATTTGCCATGCTGCAGAAAATGAAATTGCGAATTTATGATATTCACTGATGGCATTCAGGAGAAAGATTGTTTCATTTGCTATTCAAATTATGTCATTATACTGACCACAACGGAAAATAAGTGAAAACCATAGCATTTCTTAAGATTAGGATTGGCCTTTCTAGGTTTTCAGCTTCATTTAACTTTCCCCGGCTTTACTAATCCTCTTAGATTCGGGACGGGGGTTGTGTACTGGCGCGCAGTTAAGAAAGATCACTGAACACCAAGCCGGACTTCATTTCTCCATTTGCGCTTAGTTTCTTAAAAAAACCCTCATTGTATCCTCGCCTACTAGTTAATATTTGACGAAATGAATGGTAAAATAACGTCACCAGACTGAGTTCCTTTTCGCCCTCTTTCAACTTTTTGCCATGATTATTACTGGAGTTTAACAGGGCCGGGGTCACCCTCTGCGAAACAATGTGAATTCTCGACATATAAACTGAGAGAGGTTCCGTTTGATGCTTTGATGCAACCGTTCCAGAAAGCTGACTAAAAAGCTGATTTTGTTTTCTTTAGCTCATTAGGGACGACTTGGGATAAAATAACGGCCAAAACCTATTTCATATAAGCAGGTGACTTATATGAAAAATATGAAAAAAAGAGACATTTTTGTGTCGTAAAAATATTGTAGATGAAAGACTGTAACAGCCAGATAATTTTAATAGACAGATGAATAAATAATGTCAAGATAGGTTGTTTTATCACGAGATACATATATTTAGAAGACTTAATCAGAACAAATGTGGTTTTGTGACAAATGAATGATAGGTTGTCGACGTTGTCGGTGTATCACGAAAAATTGCCTAACCGCGCACGCTGAACCTTAGTAGTGAGCTTGGGCCAAATATGGCAACATGGACGCTTATTGGCTGCCTCGGTCACAGAATAGGACGTCATGTCTGTAGGTTACTGTGAGGCGTTATGATGGTGGGTCGCCATTTTGAGTCAACTTTCTGGGCTGTTTTTGGCTAAAATGTGAGCTTTTACTCCGTAGTTTTTGTCATGGGGATTCACACATTGTTGGCCTATCCGTCGGTTTCATTTCAGCCAATTTAGGTTTTTCATGGCCGAGGGAATCGACAATGATATGAGCGAACAACAACGCGGTCAGGCCAACGTTTCGCATGGCCAAGAGGCGGTTCGCTCCCCTCAAGTACAGTTCGCCGTTCCGGCAACAAACTCACAAACCGGGCTTGTATCTAAGCCTACACTAAGTTCGAATAGTTCAGCACCTATCCCAGGACATAAGAAAAAAAGTTCTTTCCAGATCACCAGTGTTATCGAGACCAAAGCCCGAAATCGTGGTGATAGTAATGGATATGATGGCGATTTGAACGAAAGCGATATAGTTGAAGATGATCATGAAGAAGTCCAAGTGGAGCTTGGTTTTTCAGATGTAGGAACTGCAAATGGCAATGGTGGATCTAGATTTAAAGTAGTTAAACTGCAATTAGATAAATCCTATCTACGTGGCCGATGGAATTGCCACGACTTTCCTGATGTGGAGTCTACGCAATCTTCTACAAGTGTGTCTACTTTATCTTCAGCAAATATATCTGCTCAGCCTTTGAGAGACAATGTGGAGAAAACGGACTCTCACTCTAGTGCAAGGATAAATTCAACTAGCAATTCCGTTGGCAATCATATAGCAAGTGATACAGACTCGCAATTGTCAGAAATCCAAACGCATGGCTCGGCTATAAAGCCGCCGACAACGCAAGCAAATGAACACAATTCTATATCAGGGGAAGTACATATAGCCTTGAAAAAGAAGGATTCTGAAACAAAATTGGGAGGTGTTGGTGAACTTGCAAAGCATAGCGATTCCTCAGTAGCAAGAGTTTCGTTCGGTGTGGAAAATTTTGATACAACTTCCCCCGAAGGAGCGCAATTACTTGGTCCAGCAGGGTAAGTTCTCCACGAGATATCGAGCTGTGAGCTAGTCTGTATGTGGCGCAACGTGGTGAAGGCGATAATCGATTAGAGTCCCTAGAGAGTTTTCCAAAAGTCGCTGTACAACGAGCTTTTCCTCGCGTGTAGATGGCCTTAGCAATGTTTTCGGCTATTGCCCCCACTTATTTTCGCTTCAATAAGTCTTAAATTGCAGTGTTGGAAGTTATTGACTCTCCCAGACCACATTATTTATTGATGATCCATTGCTACAAGCAGACAGCTTCTTAATTTGTTGGCGGCTTTCTCGTTCATAATTCTTTTGTTTAAACATTATATCTTGTTCAGGGTTGACCATAGGTATTGTACCATTTAGCTCAATGTTGTGGTTTCTTAATCGAAGAAAAAATGTTTGCGATGTAGTAGTATTTTTAAACCAAGTGACCATAAAATTCTGATTTGATTCGTTCTTTGCTCTTTCACTGTACTGTTTACAATAATATTATTTGTATTCCACGTGAGGTTTGAGGAAAGCCGGTTATTGAGCTGGAGTTCTTCGAGTTTGTTGTGTATTTGACGGCTGGTTAAACCATATTGTCACTGATTATAAATAAAGTAAGTCGCCTGCTCTTTCTTAAAAGAAATGTTTGAAAGAGATTCCTCGAGGCAGTTTCTAAACTCCCTATATGTCGTACAATATGTAATCGCATTTTGTAACAATGGCATTTCCTGAATTGTTCTCAGTCTAACTGTCCAAATCTCTGAAAAGTTCCTTTCCGCAAGAAATATGCTACCAGTGAGGCATAAAATGGGAGTCAAAAAATTCCTTATTGAAAATACATGTATCTTTCCTACAAATTAGCATTCTCTATGAAAACTTCTGTGGTTTGGTTCAGTATGCAGTTATATTGTACTTTCTGAAGACACAAAGTTAAATCATCTATTTGGTATTGCCTTTGTAAAATGTTCATAAAGACCCTTTAGTGTTTTGTACTGTAAAGCTGTTTCATGAAAATGTAAATGCTGTTGTATTTTAATTTGTTGTTGTTGATTGTCCTTTTCTACCATTTTTCACTTTGCCACAAAAATGTAGCATGAAATGTTGTGTTTTAGCTTTGTTGTCCTGTCAAAATGTTCCTAAATCCCGTGGTGATATACTGACAATTTTTCAGTGAATAAATAAGATGCATATGCCAATGAAATATTGTTAGTTTTGAATGCATCAAGTCCGATGTTTGTTCCTTTTTAAGTCGACGTTTGGTGGCAAATTGGTTTTTGTAACTAGGTGATTCACCTGATCTTTGACTGAGGTGCGAAATTTTGTAAAGCCAATATGTCCAGAAACTAATATTTTTCTCTCATCTGGACAAATGTCTAAATCTCTGAACTTATGGTAGTACAGGTTAAGATGATCAGACCTCCCTATCAGGGATTTGTTGTTGTGCTCTCTGATAATGCTTTTCTTCCAGTGTGGCTTGTTGTTTTTCAGAACCTTTGCTGGTTAAGTGATTTTTAATGTTATGCATGTCTTTCATGCTGTGCGGATAGCAAAACTCAAGGCGTTAATTTCCATAAACGAGAGTTTGTTTTGGCTGTATAAGTTACTTTGAGCATGTGTATTCTTCCTTTTTTCTGAAGGTATTAAGGCAGTGGTAAAAAAAGAGTACAGGTTTTTTTTTAGCTCTTACTGTGAACAGGGCTATTAGTTGTTTGACATTTGCAGTGGCCTTCGGGGCAAGTTTAATCTGAGAAGGCATTACCTCATCAAAGAAAAATTCCATCTGCTGTGTTTTAGCGTGGTCAAAGTTTTTTTCTAGTTGAGAAACATTTACCATCTTCCTTGTGCAGCTGGAGCGATCTTAGTTGAGAATCTGTTACTGTCTTCCATGCATTCTTTTTAAGTATTTAGATTGCACCAAAGAGTGGAAATGGGAATTTCTATTAGAAAAAGACTGTTTTAGTTTTAGATATCATTGTTATGCTCCTTTGAAGCTGTTATCATTTGTCTTATTTTCTAAAAAAGGAGTTAAAAAAATAACTGAATTTAACTTCCTTATCAGTGCTGCAAGTTACTTAATCTGCAGAGAGGAACTTGTAAAATGGTAATATTACTGTATTTCTATTTTGAGAACCAATGTTTATGCACATATTTTATCCAAGAAATGTGTATAATCGTGTTCAGCCACTTTTTGAAGAAATGAAATTTTTTTAACCCATGAAGCCCATGGACACCAAGATTTCTTTTGGAATACTATGATTAACCAATTTTGTTGGTTGAGTCGTTGAAGTAAAAGAAACAAGCAAGCGTATTATTTTTATTGTAACTCACAGGCTGTGTAAATACTCACAGGTTATTTTTTGGTAAAATATTCAAATTTGCACAGGTGAAGCATAAGTTTCTAGAAATTACTGTAGTTATGTCCCACTTTATTTCTAATATTGTATCCCTGAAGATGTGAGTGTTGTATCTGCAGAAGAATAGCCATGAGTATCTCGTGTAGAAACAACATTAAAATTGACCAAGTTCATTGGGTAAAAGGAGTAATGTTGCATATAAGGGTGCAACAAAAATAAAATGGATGGAATAAACTTGAGAAATTACTTGTTTTAGCAGCCATAGCATTGTACCATCTAAAAAGCACTTGAAATAAAATGATAAGATGCATGAATTATTTTGTTGGTCTACAAAACACCCTAGAAGAGATTCGTAACAAACATTCTGCATATTCTTATTCCAGAATACAATAAATTAATCAAATGCTTTATTCAAAACCGTTACAATCTGGGACCATGAAATATTTATATCAGCCTGGAATGGAAACTGAGACCTACGTTAATAGAGCCTTTTCTTCCTATGCACTTTTTTAGACTATAGAACTGTTTGCCACTTAGTATTCATAAATCTAAATCTACATCTGCTTTTAAGTTTCTTGAAAGAAGTTTCTGGAAACTTATTTTTGTACACAATTTTGATTCAGTATAGTTTTTCTTTTAAAGGGAAGTCTGATTATTGGCTTTGTTATTTTACTTTTACTCTGACAATTTTCAACTTTTAGGAATTATAATAGAGAGGAAAAGTTGTTACGTCACATTGCCATAGTAGCAAAATTTCTGGATGACATCAAATCGAACGTGGAATGTCACTTAAAAAAGAATTCACTCTGTTTTAAACTTCATTGATCTTATTCTATTTCCTGCAATATCTCAAATGTTGGCGAAATTTTCTTGGGTTAAGTCTGAAGGGACCATATTTTCTGCTCCAGCTATACAGGCTAATTCTCAACAGACCATTTAAAACAATGTTTTGGTGGTTGCAGCAAAGACCAACAATCAAACAAAGGTGTCGGATTCTACCAGATTTTGTTAGCAAATTTTTGTAGAATAAAGAAGCAATTATTTTAAGTCTCATTTTATTGCAAGGAGATCATAATGTACTCCCTGAGGAAGCCAAGACATGCCTTTTGAAATATCAGATAATATAGTGAAACCTCCCATAAGCGACCACTGAAAATGGGAAGAGTTGGTGGTCGCTCACAAGAATGCGAACTGCAAGAGGTCTCTTGCAAAAAGAAGTCCAGACACGTCCACTTATTGGAGAGAACATATCGCAAGGAATTTTTAAGGTTACAACATATGTAAATCATGTTGTTTCTAAAAGATCTTCTCCTTGAGTCGTACCTTTTTATTTCTACTGATAACTTAGCACTTTGTCATTGGTAAAGTAAATATTAGAGAGCTTTAGATTCTGAGGCGAGGACAACTTCCGCGTATGAGTATGAGATTTTCTCAGTACTAACTAGTGCTCTTGCGTGAACCTTGACTTTTTGGCAGGAAAACGTGATAGCTGTATAAATTCTACTACGAGATTTAACGAGTAATCGTTTTAAGGTTACAACATATGTAAATCATGTTGTTTGTAAAAGATCTTCTCATACTCTGTGTACCTTTTGCATACACTGAACACAAACATTAGACCATTGTATCACAGGGTTCGTACAGGTCATGGAAAACCTGGAAAGTCATGGAATTTAAGAATTTTATCTTCCAGGCCTAGAAAGTCATGGAGTTTAAAATAAATGTTGGTCCTTGAAAGTCATGGGAAATGAAAGTTTTGTTTGGTATTTTAGTTACTGCAGATGACAAAGCAAGGACAATTTAAGATAGAGAGGGGTAATTAAAGAGTGCAAACTGCACGCATTTTTGTGGACACCTGAGTTTGTGTCTATTGAACTGTTTAAGGTCAAAAAATACCCCCAAACAAGGATTGTGAACATTTTTTAAAGTGACAACTAAACCTAAGGTCATGGAAATAGTCATGGAAATTCATGGAATTTGAAAAGCGCAAAAGAGTACAAACCCTGTATCATGAGGCCACTTAAAAAAGGTTAATAACAATGGAGAATTCTAAATCCGTCGTCCTAAAAAGTGGTCATGGTCGCTTATGAGAGGTTCCAACTGTAAATCCTTAACTGGGAAAATTGTGGCTTTTTGGATAAGTGGTCAGTCATGGGAGGTAGTCGTTTATGAGAGGTGGTTACACATGTTGGTTGGAGTGTACTTACATGTAGGCTTTTAATCTTTTAACCTTTCAACCGTGGCAGGATTAGCTCATTCGATAGAGCGCTTGACTGCAGAGCGGGAGGTTGTGGGTTCGATTCCCTGGGCTGGACCAATACTCTGGGTCTTAAAATAACTGAGAAATGAAGGTACTTCCTTTGCCCTGCAAGCGGCTGGACCTTTACGTGGCTCGGATGACCACGTGAAATGGCAGTCACGTCTCCAGTAGGAGACGTAAAAAACAGTGTCCCCAATTGGTACTTTGGTGCTAAATACATTGACACTCAAATAAAGTGTATTATTTATTTATTTATTTCGTAGCTATACAGCAAGAATTGAATCATATAATTTTGGGGAATGGAAAGTGATGATACTTTTGGCTTTTTCTCTTTCAGACAAGGCACTGCAGATGCTGAGATGCCTATTGTAAATAAAATTGCTACGGCAATGGTATGTGGACTCATGGTTTATCTTTTATATCAAAGCTGATTGGCTTGTATGTGTGCTAAACAGACTTCACTAGCCCAATAGCAAAATCCACTAGCCCTGGGCTATCAGACACTACTTTCTTTGCATGCAGGGGCATATGTAGAGTATTTATTTGAAAGTAAATTGTATTGGTTATCCTAGATTGACTTGCTTGCAAATTAATGAATTGATATGTTCAGTAATCTTGTGTAAAACAAATTGAAACAATTTGTTTCTTGATGACTCTATAATCAGTGAAGAAAGAGTAGTTCCTGTCTTAGCTGGCTTATTCTTTTTCTTCAGCTGGTCGGAGGTAATCAATACTTGGCAAATCATCTCTGAGCTAGCCAATCAGCGCTATTCACTTTTGTAGTATATGTTTAAACCATATACTCATGTTATATACTATCTTTGTCCTTGTAGGAACAAATTACTCAGATTAAGTCAGACCTACTTAGTGTTGTAAACAAAGAAGTTCAGACATTAAAGGAAACAATATCCAAACTCACTGAGGAAAATCAGGAACTTAAACAAGAAAATGAAAAATTACGGACCTTGGTGGAAAGCAAGCACTCTACATGACAGTGGCCTTCATGTCAAGATGTGATAAACTAGAGTGAACCTGAGCCTGATTTTCCAATGAACATGGTTGTTCAAAATATTTCAGTGTTGTTGCATGAACCTTAGGCAACATCCTCGACAACAATTTGCTTGTCTTTCCAGGAGAAAATGCTTGTTGAAATACTATGAAGTTCTTGAGGGAAAAGTATTGTTGCAGTCTTTGGCTGTCTGTGTTTTAAATGACTGTCATGAATTTTTGAAGAACCCGATGCTTATTCACAAGGGAATAAAACACCAAGATGTCAAAGCATTGGTAACCTCGAACTTCAAAGATGCCCAAACTTGCTTTCCAGGAGAGATCCCAGATTTCATTTATTATATTGAGTACTGAAAACAAAAGAGCACCAGCCAAAGAGATTTCATTTAAATGGTTATGCAAATGTTTGGGATTTTGGCCTCGGGATCAGAAGTTAGAAGTGGAATATTCAAGCCATTGTAACTGCTTTTAGAAAGGAAAGAGTGGAGCAGAGGTCTTCATTCTTGTTGACTGTAAAGGTTGCAGTGTAGCAGAAAGCAACAAACTATCATTCTATCCAGCTTGCTTTTTACTGCACTACACACAGGGCCAGTTGTGAGCCTTGAGTCCTACCTTTTTATTTCTACTGAGAACTTAGCACTTTCTCATTGGTAAAGTAAATATTAGAGAGCTTTAGATTCTGAGATGAGGACAACTACGAGTATGAGATTTTCTCAGTACTAAGTAGTGCTCTTACATGAACCTTGTCATTTTGGCAGGAAAACGCAATAGCTGTCTTCATTCTACGATGAGTTTTAGCAAGAATGTCATAGTGGTGGGAACTAGGTACCAAATTTTAGAAGTTTAATCATTTTAATCATGAAGTATTCCGGGTTAAATCTCATACTGATATTCGTCCTTGTCCTCAAATCTAAAGCTCTCTATTATTATTGCACAAACATAGAACAAATTTATGTTAAAATTTCATGTATGCTTCTCAAAACAGAAACAAAAGGGCATTGTCAATTTTGGATCATTGTGCCCTTGTCTTTATGTTGATTATGCTTACTAATATATTTAAATTCTCAGCCTCTTAAAACAAACTTTAAATGAAAACCTTAGTTGTGGTATAAACTGAATAAATGCAAGAGCATACTAGATACTTTAAGCAGCCATGACAGCAGTGGAAATTAGATGAAAGTAAATTTGTGCATCATTGCAGTTAATCCAACTCGCTCAGTTTTTTGTTTGTAACCAAATTATCCTGGAGCTGGATTCCTTTCCAAGTTAGAAAGAGAAGAGAAAACTTATTTTCTGTGTGTTCTTGCACCCACTTAAATCATTTGTCAGCAGTTTTTGTGTTGTACTTGTACAGAATGTACAAAAAGGTGTTATACATGGGAAGGGATGGTGATTAATGGTATTTTCATTGCTGTCATTGCTTTATAGTTGCTTAAGGTTCTCCAAAGATGCAGTCACACCTAGAGATGATCGTGTCTATTACAAGGGAGAATTTTACTGGAGTAAATACCAAACATTTTGTCACTTCTTTTATTGTTGCCTTCTTTTGACTGAACAATGTGAACTAATTTTGATTTCATCTGACTTATTCTAGCATTTGAAACCTAAACTTTCTTGGATGGTTGTATAATGCTATGGGCCAGATATTTAGAATGATCAAAGTTTACCTCAATTTAGAGACTATTGGTAAAATAGTAGTCAAATACCACAATTAAAGAGACATTTTCACATGAGTTCTTCTCTGAAATGACTTCTCTTCTCTCAACGGAATGGCCCCTACTAACAATAATAACTACCAGTGGATCAAAAATGAAAACTTTCAGAAGGATCACAAACATGTGTTGTTTGCTCTTTTTTTTTTTTTTTTGAGACAAAATGACAGAACTGGGCAAAATTGCAGTCCTTTTCCTTGTCCTTTTATGAACCTAAAGTTTGGAACACACTAGGTGACACATTACTGCAACATGTCACAATGACAAATCACTGGTTGTGTACAGGTCAAGCAACAAGTTGTGTGACATGTTGCAACAACAAACCTTTATATGTACTGGGGAATTTTTGTGAAAATCTTTATCTCGGCAACAGAATTTTGTCATTGAACAAATCGCTTCTGATTTGAATTTGTGTGACTTATTGCAGGGACAAAATTCTCTTGCGGAGACAAGGGTTTTCACAAAATTCTCCCGTACACACAAAGAATTTGTCATATGATTGCAATCTGTTGCCGCTATGTGTTGGTGCAACTTGTCACCTAGTGTGTTCCGCCCTTAAAGATTACCATTGATAAAATTTGCCAGATTTTCAGTTAGTGCCTTTTTGAGTAGATTCAAATAATGTTATTTAAAACCTTTGAGTTGCTGAACACCATCTTTGCTTTGATCAAGTAACTGGCCTGTAGCTTAAAGAAAGGCTAGCCTCTTTTGCTAAAATGGTGGTTGTTAATCTTTATGAGACTGAATGATGAAGTCTAACTTTTGAGTCTGTGGATGAAATCCTATGGTGTGGCCATTCAAATGAAACCTCTTCAGCAGTACTTTCACATTGTACTATTTATTTAGTTTGTAGCTCTAACTTTTGGGTCTGTGGATGAAATCCTATGGTGTGACCATTCAAATGAAACCTCTTCAGCAGTACCTTCACATGGTACCATTTTTTAGTATGTTGTTCTAACTTTTGAGTCTGTGGATGAAATCCTATGGTGTGACCATTTAAATGAAACCTCTTAACTCTTCAGTAGTGCTTTCACATGGTACTATTTGTACCATGTGAAAATTTACACCTCTTACTGGTGTAGTTATGAGGACTGTATCAGAGACTTGCTCGACACCAAAAGCTAGCCAATGCTGCTGCATGCAAAGAAATGCATGTCAAATAGTCTGAGGCTCGTGGATTTTGACCCTGCTTGCCATAGAGCCTTCAGTAGCTCATTGGTAAACATCTGAACCAGCAGTTGGAGAGTCTTAAGTTTGGTTCTCTCCTAGAGCTTGGAAGTTTTTCTGAGCTTTCTAATGTTAGAAATCTTCTTCCAAAATATAGAGTGGTCTGTCACAAGAGAGCCAATAATTGTAAGAACTACTTTTCCCAAGACATGAACAAGAGAGAGAAGTTTAGCTCATGAAAAGGATAAAGTACTGTTAATGCAATAATGATATTGTTGGTGTTCCGTTGCTGTTGATGATCTTCAAGACAATCAAATAGATGTACTTTTCTTTGTATAAAATAACACGCATTTTAGGCACCCTACTGATGAACAGTTGGGACACGTAGATATAGTTTTTTGCAACTACTATAATTTCCACTCTGTCTACTTTGAATTTGAATAGATTGAAAAGGGAGATCATCAGGTATTGAGATTGGCCAGCTCATAAAGGCACAGGAAACAGTTGGCCCTCAAAGCTGCCACAATAACATAAGTTCTAGTATTTACTTTCACTGAGAATATCAAAGCTGCAAATTAAAACTATAGCACACGCCCCGGTTGTTCAAACGTTGGATAGCGCTATCCACCAGATAAATCACTATCCAGCGGATAAGTATTAGGGAAAATAATTATTGCACTATTCACTGGTTAGAGATTTATCCGGTGAATAGCACTATCCATCTTTTGAACAACCAAGATATCATCATAAAAGAAAAAATATTACTTTGCTATGTACGGCTTCTACGCTACTCGTATGGTAAAAGAGTTTAATTAGAGTTCGGATGCATAAGAATAAGAATATTTTCAATATAAGAGGCACTGAGATTTACGATGTTTTGATCGCACATGGACATGATATATAAAAATAGTGCCTTGCAAGACATATTCGTAAAATTACTGTTTATTGAGTATAGGCTCTCCAAGAAGATACCCCTTATATGAGAAAGTGATGAGTGGGTACATTTCAGCAAATAATGGAATTCATCACCAATTTCGGATCTATTACAAAGGGGGCAAACACAATAAAAACAGACCACGAAGTTCTCTCAAAAGCAGGAATCAACTTTGTTGGGTATTAAAAAAAAACTGTCTCTTGACAGACATTTTGCATCATTGTCATCCAGAAATGGTCACTGGGTCATTTTCTTTGGCTGTCTATAAGGTGAACACTTCTACTAGGGCCTGTTTACATGGAGGTGGAGGACTCCAGTACGGTGAGGTACCCCACTCAGGTGGGGTAAAGGAATAACCTGCATTTCCTTGCAATCTTATAACCCAGCCATCGTGGGGTGCACTTTCCCATGATCATTGAATGGCTGCTAAGTGTGTAAACAAAAAATGGCAACCAATTTGATGAAACACCAATCTGTTCTGGCTAGGATGGTTAACCCACCTTGAAGCACTTGCATGGAAAAAATTAGGCCCTGGCAAAGATGGTTGCCCTGCCTGGCAGACCAGGCAGCCCCCCTTGGCGGGCCAACCCGCCAATCACATTAACATAATCAAAAAAAAAATGAGACATTATTTGGATAGGAAGGTTACCCCACCTAAGAAGGCTACCTCACCTATCTTGGGTCCTCTACCTCCATGTAAACAGGCCCTAACATTACTTTGTCAGACTTGCTCTTCATCAGTGGGTGAGGACAGGGGGTGGAACCAGGAGAACAGGGCACAGGAGGTGGTAGAAGAAAGAGTAGAAAATGGAAAGGACAGTAAGCTACCCCAAAAACGATCAAATTCTTATTCTCCACGCCCCGGTTGTTCAAACGTTGGATAGCGCTATCCACCAGATAAATCACTATCCAGTGGATAAGTATCAGGGAAACCGATTGCGTTACACACTGGATAGATTTTTATCCAGTGGATAGCGCTATCCAACGTTTGAACAACCAGGAACAGGTCCCAGTTGTTCAAAAAGGTGGATAACACTATCCACTGGATAAATCTTTATCCACTGAATAGCGCAATTGGTTTCCCTAAACTTATTCGCTGGATAGAGATTTATCTGGCCCCAGTTGGTCAACAGGTGGATGCGCTATCCACCGGATGAATCTCTATCTACTGGACAGTGCATTTGGTTTCCCTAATACTTATCCACAGTATAGAGATTTATGCAATGGATAGCTCTATCCAGCTTTTGAACAAGTGGGACCTGGGCCTCAGTTGTTCAAAGACTGGATAGTGCTATCCACCGGATAAATCTCTATACTGTGGATAGGACAATAATGGTTTCCCTAATACTTATCCACTGAAGGGCGATTTATCTGGTGGATAGTGCTATCCAATGTTTGAACCACGGGGCAAGTTTTCCAAAAGAGCAAAACAGAATCAATAAATTTACTGCAAGGGTATCTGATAAGAAGTCTCAAGTGGAAGTCTGATGAAATTACAGATTCTCTTTCAAACAGGCCTCTTGTGTGAAACAGAGAGAGGGAGAATTAAGGTCTTGATCAACGTCCCTTCACCCCTTGACCACTCAATCAAGCTGACGGCATAAAGGCCAAGAAAAACAACTCACACTTTTCTCTACTTAAATAATCGAATTTATTCTTGTAAAATAGCTTTGTGAAACGGTTAATTAAAGAGACTTCAAATTCTCGATAGATTTACATGGAAATTTACTGATAAGTGAAGATTAACAATCATATTTCGTACGGTTTCAGTAAAGACTACGTAAAAAAATCTGACCTAGAACCATGATGACAAGAAGGAAATCCAAGATGGAAGAAAATATTGAAGCATACAGGTCAACACACCCTACCTACAAACAGTTTTGTCAAAAGCAAAATGTTTGACCTGTATGTAGCGAGTTTTCCGTCTATAACTCTATTATTTTTCTGGAATATCTGCGTGAAATTTTTACACGTAAGCACCAGTGCAGTAGTGTCGAGTCCTCTCTCTCGTCAGTCGAAATATTTTTTTTAATTTTACTAGACATCATTATTCAAACTATCCCATCCTTATGCTCTGAATGATCTGAAATATCGCTGTGAAAAAGAAGAAAAACAGCAGTTAACTTGAGGGAGAAATTTTTGCGCCGTTAGATGGTTACCAGAAGTCGTAAAATTCATGAAAGCCTGCCAAAAGCCTACCACCAACGCGAAGTTCGCGACTGAATATTTGACTTTTCAATTGCTCACCTGATCCACATACGACGAAAATAAATAATCCAAGAAGAATAGGTCCAACTGGATACTTTTCCTCTTGTGGTTTCTAAAAAAATACAGAGAGATCGTCAAAAATAGCCAAAAAGAATTAAACGTTTCATGTTCCAATAAGAAGTAGATTTGCGTCGTTTTCTAAACGGAGTAAACGAAGCTTCGTGGTCATTTCAAACCCTCACCAATGATTTAGGAACATTTCCTCTTGTCAAAACGTTCTGGCTATGTTTCTCGTTAGCAACACGCATTCTCTGTTTGGCTGGCATTTTAGAAGAAGGAGTTCTGATCAGTAGAAAATTGCTTCAATCTCTCGTAGATCTCAACCACAACAAAGCAAGCTTGTAAAGGAAGAAGCAGCGATCTTACGCAGAATGTGACGTAAGAATATCCTTATCCCTTTTTTTGATTGGTGCCCGCTATCCACGTGACCAACAGATGATTAAATATGGTTGTTTTCAACACTTTCGTCTCTTTCCTTCAAAGTTTCTTGGTATGTGTACTCTATTTGATTTATGACACGAATACAAGCCGAATCAATATTTTAAAAAGATTTTCGTCATTTTCAGTTCCACAATGAAATATAAAAACTCTGCGACTGTATCCGCTCACCGGCTATAAAAAACATCTCCAAACACGTAAACGAATCTGATTGGTTACAAGCGACCTCAAGAGAGAGCTGGGGGTTGTACGAGTCGAGTACAAGCATTTCCGGAATGGGGAAATGGATATTTTAGTGGGCCAAAAAGAACGAGAGACGACAACAACTCACAGAACTTGAGAGTCATTTTGAAGATGGAGTTGTGTGGTCAAACACGTCGAAACAGAAAGTTATGGCAGATATGAAAATGACAGAGCTGAATTTTTTACAGTTTCTTTATCTGTGGCACAGTTCGTTCTAATGTAAAAGTCGGTCTTTTAGAGTTTTTTTTTCGTTTTAATGTTATAAGAATGTGCTTATTGCACAGTACGGAAGTATAAACACGCTTAAGAATTATCTCCAGTGTTACAAACCCACAGCTCAATCATTTCAGCTGTTCCTTAAAATTTCAGCCCGATATACTGACCGGCTCTTTGAGAAATAATAGGGTAGAAGTTTTACCAAAAACAAAGAGAAAACAAACCCTTTAACCGATTATTCCAAATTGTCAAATGATGAAGGAATTTTCCTGCAGTTTGATTCTAAGGGGGACCCACATCTAAGTCCAAAGACCGAGTGAAAAATTTGTTCTCGTATGTTAACGCCGTCCCGTATAAAAACGTCAGATTAGAAAGAGGTTAGAAACTTTCACGCCGTGGTTTCTTTGCTTATTGAGCCTATTGCTTTTTTGACGTTTACAAGTGTCATCGCCGCTGGGTTGCTTTTCAAAGCCGTGTCCCTACGTAATATCAATATACGGCAGCAAATACCCGCCCTTTCAATAATAGTCGCGCAGCATATCCGATCACTGGGTCCTCATTAATTAAGCAATACTTTCATGTCAGCAGCTGAACCTTGCCACTTGCCATGCTACATTTAGAACACAACTTTATCATCGCTACGTTCACTCAACCTTAAAGAGCCGAGTGCGTAAATTTACCTTTACATATCTTTACGTACCTTCAAAAGTTTGCGTAAATGAGTTGGTTGTGTTCGTAATTGGAAAAGTTTAATTTTTCGTGAATTTCAAGTTTTCATGATTTTTTGCCGAAAGTCGACATAGTTTTGGCTTTTTAACTGATATCGTTAAGCATCAGAGCTCGTACATTTCCCGCATTAGACGTGTCCGGGCTACGATTGTCCTGATATCATTTTTCACGACACGGAAGTATCGGGGACATGAAATGCACCCTCTGAAACACAGTGTTTTATGGGTCGCCGTTTGTAAAAACAATGATTTAGCTTAATTTTGTCATTTTTTTCGTTATTTATTAAATAAAGTTTTCTGATATGATATCATACGTCAATGATTTGATATAATAAATGTTGATTTCAAATCATGCGTTTATGATTTGATATAATAAATTATTATTTAAAATCATGCGTTTATGATTTGATATAATACATTCTGATTTCAAATCCTGCCTTTATGATTTGATATAATAAATATTGATTTCAAATCATAAGTTTATGATTTGATATAATAAATTCTGATTTCAAATCATTCGTTTATGATTTGATATAATAAATCCTGATTTCAAATCATAAGTTTATGATTTCATATAATAAGTTCTGATTTTAAATCATAAGTTTATGATTTGATATAATAAATCCTGATTTCAAATCATAAGTATATGATTTCATATAATAAAAATCATTATTTGATATCAGTAAAACCATGATTTAATTTAATAAGTAATAAGTAACCGCGTGACTTGGCACGTGGGTTACTACCGCGGGAATAATCGCAAAAAAGGGCGACACAACCAGATCAGCTATCGAGGTCAATCGCTTCTGCGGTCTCTAGAGCCGTAGAAAGGGCGGTTGACCAAGCTTTGGCATCCCTTCCGAACATATATATGCTACTGCGATTTGTCGCCAAACCAGAGTCTCAATGTTACGCCTGTACAATGATTTTTGTTCGCCAAGGACGCTTGGACCGATGTCACTAACTAATAATTTCTCCTCCCGGTGTTGAGGTGTAAATAGCCCTTTGTTTGTCTCGATCTCTTGTTCTATGACGAACTGTCTTGTCGCCTCACTTTGTGAAATAGAAACAATCATTAGCTGTATGTTATTTTAGTATGGCTACTAAAAGGACGTAACAAAGGAAGCAAACACATCTAAAAGTAAGCCGAGCGTGTCACGCAATGCGCCAGACAAGCGAAAGGTCCAAAAGTCCCCTTTCCCTCGTAAATATGGTCATAGCTTTCAGCAGTGATACATCCTCGGGGGAGGGAGGGATATGGGCCGCGCGGGACTCCAAATAGGCACCCCGTTCTAAAAAAAATATCCCCTAAAATTGATACCCCGTTCTAGAAATGGGCCAATTTTTTTATATCCCGTTCTAGAATTCGCCTTAAAACTGATACCCCGTTCTAGAAATGGGCCGATTTTTTTATACTCCGTTCTAGAAAGTTCGTAAATTGAAATAGCCCTGTTTTTTTAAAAGATATTTCTTTATTTGTTCGACTTATACATCAAATAGATGCTTCTTCATAATCAGCAACAATTTTAAGCAGAAGATAAAGCCATGATCCACAATTTTTTAATACCCCGTTCTAGAAAACGCCTCTGAAATGGATACCCCGTTCTAAATCAGGAGCTTCAAAATCACGACCCCGTTGGGCGGCACATATACCCGTACAGGTAATGTATGGGAGTACCCCCCCCCCCGATACATCAATGTTACATACCTCTTGTGTCGCAGCAGCAAAACCTGAATTGCCAGGAAGGCTCGGAAGGGATGCCAAAGCTTGGTCAACCGCCCTTTCTACGGCTCTAGAGACCCTAGAAGCGATTGACCTCGATAGCTGATCTGGTTGTGTCGCCGTCTTTGCGATTATTCCCGCGCTAGTAACCCACGTGCCAAGTCACGCGGTTACTTATTACTTATTAAATTAAATCATGGTTTTACTGATATCAAATAATGATTTTTATTATATGAAATCATATACTTATGATTTGAAATCAGGATTTATTATATCAAATCATAAACTTATGATTTAAAATCAGAACTTAGTATATGAAATCATAAACTTATGATTTGAAATCAGGATTTATTATATCAAATCATAAACGAATGATTTGAAATCAGGATTTATTATATCAAATCATAAACTTATGATTTGAAATCAATATTTATTATATCAAATCATAAAGGCAGGATTTGAAATCAGAATTTATTATATCAAATCATAAACGCATGATTTTAAATAATAATTTATTATATCAAATCATAAACGCATGATTTGAAATCAACATTTATTATATCAAATCATTGACGTATGATATCATATCAGAAAACTTTATTTAATAAATAACGAAAAAAATGACAAAATTAAGCTAAATCATTTTTTTTACAAACGGCGCCCCATAGTGTTTCATGACACCTCGCGCATAGATATAAGATTTGCTAAGTGTCATAGATCGGAGTATCGTGGCCCTGCAACTTCCCCTAAATTACTCATTTCACGCAGCAAGCGTGGCGGAGCAGTTAGAGCGCTGGACTTATAACAGTTGGAGGTCCCGAATTCAAGTCCCAGGGGCACCCAACGAGAATGTAGTTCAAAACCACTTAAACATAGAATTGTTAAACGTATTTTAGTATTTAAACGGTAGATATAGGCATATTTTTATCCCCTAAAAATTTTTCATCTGTTCGGATTTCTTAGCTGAAAGTCTAGTGATCCGAAAATTATAGGGATCAAAACTTAACTAGGTGACCTTTTTAGGGTAAAAATCCGTCAAAAATAGGCAATTATACCATTTTTTAGATGTTCGAAAATCCTAGGAGAGGCAGGCAAGCAATAAATTTTACAACAAATGTTCCGAAAATTCTAGATCTCAAATCATCTTCTGAACAGATATTTTTCCGAAAATTTTCGTTGGGTACCCCTGAAGTCCTGCCCTGACCCGCCGGCTGGATTTGTTCTTGGTAGTTCGGAGTTCAAATCGTCGGCCACACTTGTAAAATAGCCCACTGGTTCGCCTCCTACCAATCGTGATTTTTAACTATGTTATGTTCCATTCAAATTATTTGCTTCATTATCCCTGGAAAGCCCCATAAGGGAAGAAGATAATTAAAGTATTGTTATTATTATTATTTACATTACTCATTAACATTTAGCCAATTCTTCGAGACTCTGGAACTAAGCACAGCAACAGTTACAAAATGAAAGTGGATTCTAGTTTCACGAGTTTGACTGTGACGGCTACTGGAAAGGTAAACCCTGTCGGCCAAACAGATGAGATAGTCATCATAGAGGCACAGAAGTCAAACTCAGTAAATGTTAATCACAGTCATTTAGGCGGGTTATGGCTTCATATTCAGCTTCATATTTAGCAGCCTTCGTAGCAGCGATCAAAAACCCGAATGCTCTGGGTACGAGAGACTGACGTGCGGGCAGGCGCTTGACAGGAATACGGGCTCAAAAAAAAAAGACTGAGGCGCGCACGAGGGAGACACGCGACGGGAGCTTTCAAACGTTGCCGCATTCTACTTTTAAACCGTATAAATTTCAAGTGTTGAAATAACTCGCCATGACACGGTCTTGGCGAATTAGTAAGAACAAAACTGCATACGCTTTTTAGCTAAAGAATTGGAGATGACTATCGCTCAGAAAATTAAAAGAGAAGTTAATAAAAAACAAGACGCTGTGTGAGCGTATATTTGGGCGTGGTCGTACTATGGGTACGATACTTTGAACATGCGTTATTACAGCTAAAGAACTGTCATCATATCTTACCAGAGAGGACAAATCCTTTACTCCACTTGTTTGCTGAACCACACAGCTTATACAGTATGTCCCAATCCACAACAAAAATAGTTTCATTTCATGACAATGTTTGAAAATATGCACATCTTCAATGTAGACATGCTTGGAGCCAAATTGCAACATAGGACATAAGTGGTTACAGCCCGGAGAGTAAGGTTTATCTCAGCTCCACTGATACTGACAGACGTGTTTTCACACCCATAACCTTGTACAGTGTATTCCGGTTACTAACAAGGGCAAATAAAGTTCCTTAAGTCTAGTATCCACAAGGATTAATGAGAGAGTAACACATTGCATAAACTGCTATAGGGCAGCACTGTTTACAGGAACATTGGTAACTATTAACATTTGATTTACTACAATTTTCAACATTGCTTGAGAAAAGATGAGGTTCAAAGGTGGCAATATGTACACCTTTAAGTTCATATATATCCTCATTCCTATGCAGAGTCTGAAAATATTGTACTAATTTATGCGTGGATGGTATTTCCAACAATACACATGTCCCTTCACTATGACTGTTATGATACTTATCTCTAGCATGAGAATCAAATACATTATATACCCCAGCCTCAGTGCTGTAGATACCAACACCAATAATTGCCACCGTTAAAATAAATGAGTTGTAGTTCAGTGCCAAGAGTGTTTGATGTTACTAGTATAACTGTCACTGTATTCAAGGTGGAAAAATTGCTCAAGCACTGTAATCATTCCTGGCAATTCTGTTAGCATTGACATAGATTGTCTTGCAAGCAGTGACAGACAAGAATATAACTGAATACCAACAATCATTATTTGAGTCATATCATCAACTGAAGTCATCTTTGTTATCTTACTGTAAATTAAAGCGCACAGACTTATTGCGACACATCGTTGTCCACCATTTTTGACAGTATGGAGCATTAATTGTTTCTGTAGAATCTACATAAACTGAAGGTCCTGGATTCTTCTCTATATCAGTACAAAGCTTAAATTTGCCAAAAATAACCCGGTGATTCAAACTGTTTTAAGCACTGTAAAATGGATAATTACATGTACAGAGGGGCAAATTCTTACTTAGAAGCGTATTTGGTTATCTCATTCCACTTAAATCGCCTGTGGTCTGCTGCTTGGACGACAAATACACCTTCCCTCGTTTACGAACTAGTTTTGTAGTTGTCCCTTAAGTAAAAACCTCACACTGTTACTTCTGTACAAAATGTGTCTCTTTCCGTGTTTTCTGTAACAAAGATTTTAATTTGTTCATTGGTAGTCTGCTAGGGGCATGACGGTAACCGGTGATTTTGTTCCATGGTCAAATCGTTTACATCGTTCCAAGTCAGATCGTTCCATAAAATAGTCAGTTCGTTCCACAAAAAAGTCAGTTCGTTCCACATATGAAAAGTCAAGTAATTCTTTCTAAATTTGTTGAGTGAACTTTATCGAGAAGAAAAAGGTTTCGTTCATACCACAAGCTGATAAAATAATAATCGGTCCAAAGTCGGTTCGATCCATCCTAAATCGTTTGAAAACAAACAAGAGACGATTTCAACCAGCCACGGGCTTTAACATTTAAACCGCTGCTTTGAGAGTTTTGAGCTAGAACCGATCGATAGTTTTGAAAGATATAGCACAACAAGTAAAAGCTATACCGCTCTGAAGGTACAGTATTTCGAAGTGCTTCTAACCTAAATATTTCTTTGCAGCGGCCGATTTATGCAAATTTTGAAAACAACGCGAGCTTCGAATTACAATCTCGATTTTATGGTAATTTGTCATGCCGAAAATATAATGGACTAACCTGGTTTAAACCAATGAAATTGTAAGTTCTGTTATAAATAAATTTCCCACGACGAAATCTCAATTCAACTTCTTTTATTTCCTCCAAAACACAATTTTTCTTCTGTACAACTAGCTCTTTACTTTCTCTTGTCGTCATCTCGCTGCCATCAAAACACTAACACAAAACTTGCTGATAATGCAAAATCCCGACGCACTGTCAGCATCGTATGAACACGCAATACAAAAACAAGTACATTAACCGTCACCCTGCTAAACAAAATTGAAATAATGAAAAGAATTGTTGCAGTTATCACAGTAGTTCCAAAAGAAGCCTCAGTCCCTTTTAGTTTCAATTGTTGACAATCGTCTCTTCCTTCATCGGAACAGATTTTTATCACGGGCAACTCGTTGTGCTCCGTAATGCAAAAATCAAACTGATCACTATTGTCACAGTGATAACCAGCTACACAAACCTTGCGTCTCTCAAACTTGTTAAACATTCCTCTGTTAAAACTCCTATCCATGTTACACGTACACTCCCGACATTCCGATTTGTTATTACGTCTATGGGGTCCATGAGTCTTTCATGTCATTGAATGTCTTGATAATTTCCTTTGTTTTTCTTTGAGTTCGCGGACCAGCCCATTCCGAAAACACTCAGTGTTATTTTTTTAGTGTGGGCCTACCGCGAACAGTGTGTGCATTTGTAAGTTTAACCCGGGATAACATGATTGAACAATATAACACGTTACCCGAAACGCCGCGGCCAAATGGTATCCGAACTGCTTCTCACTGCTGCTTCGAAAAAATTGGGATCAAACGATATCCAAATCGTCCCTCATTGGATCATCCACTCGACCTAACAAAATCGACCAATCACAAAAAATGGACATAAAATAAAGAAAACAGCAAATTCAGATGACCTCTTAGGAAACATGCAATTAAAACTGTCTTTCTATGATTGGTGCATTTCGATCCTCTCGTCAAAAAAATGTCAGACGTCAATCATCTTAGCGGACCTCTTAGGAAACGAAAGTTTTCTTCAACGGGTTCAAAAGGTCATTGTTTATGATTTGTGATTGGTGGATTTCGATCCGTTTTTTGTGTTTCTGTGTTTCAAGGTTCGTTGCTTGCGATCTTATTGTGCCCAAAACCCGACGTTAATATTCCAAATATTTTAGATAGATTTCATCCCTGGACTTCAGACTTCCAATTTCGATGAGGCAAAAATACTGAAGATTCAGATTAACTTTAGAGATCGTAAAAGTGCGATTAAGTGCCGTGTGCAAGCAGAGCTTTCTTTTCCACATGCCTCTTACCTTGTACAAGACGTTTGCATGGCAGACATTCGACTCGCTTCGGTTGTTTACTTGCCTTGTTTACGTTAGCACGTATTGCGTGCCTATTGCACATTTGCGTCAAAACAAGCCGTTTCCATTACTCTATTTGGGCCACGCCCAAATAATAACGTCCATGTTCCTTTATTAAAACAAAAGTAATAATACATTTTCAATTTTGAAACCCCTTGTCATTGTTTATCGGCTACATATTTTAAATACCTGTATATCTACCCTTAATTTAATTTCAACTTTTCTGATTAATTCTAAATTTAGATAATAAATATCGCTAGATATAAATAGTAGATGAAAAATTTCTAACTTCGGTTCGCTGGGATACCCTGGAATGGCAAACGAGCGAGAAAACTAATGACTGCAATTTTTAAAACAGAAAAAAAAGATAACTGTTTTATAAAATAATAATAATAATAATAATAGACCCTTCCCGGACATCCCAATAGTAATTATTTTTAGGTGTTACACTATTTTTAAAAGAGGTTTTCCACTAACGTTTCAGTGCCTAGACCTTATACTAGAAGCTTAAAAGAATGGTTTCAATATCACATGAAACTGATTTTTACGAAATAGTCCGCCAATTGAAGCTAGAAACCAGCAATTAAAAAGTGTTTTTGCCACATAGGGTAGTCTGTCTTTTCATTATTCAGTTCATAGTTTCATTAATCAATTTGGAAGGTTAATTCTATCCATGCAATCTTGGCAGGTAGTTTAAAAAACGACATTTGGTGGAACACGCTATCGGGAAGAGCATCTGTGAGAACACCCGCGAGATAGATCGTTTTTGTCCTTGACAGAAAATGGTATAAAATAACATTAACCTGCTACGGAACCAAGTCCATTCCCTCTCCGTCCCGCCCCTCCTCCTCCGAAAATGTCCCTCCCGGTCTTATATTCGAGTTTTTTCCCATAAATTTCTAAAATTAACCTATACCTATTACTCTTTCAGTATACAATATGCTCTGTATATTTCATTGTCTTCTCCGCCGCATTTAAAGTCCAAGCTTGTGTTAGCTGGTATAAATACTACAGTCCCACGTCTCACTGTAATCGATACAGAGGATGTATCAATGCTGCCTGATCCAGATATCGCAATAGCTATACTTGGCCCATTTAAAGCTTGGAACTTGTACATGGCACAGCTTGATGGAATCTAAAGCAGAATACAAATCATGAGAGGGATTTCTTTAGCATCTATTTCATTTTGTTTTCTTATTTTTTCATCGTTACTTTCATCCTCGGAGACCCAAGGAAGGGCAGATAGTGGAGGCAACGGAAAGTTTAAACGGGCGGGAAAAAAATGGCGCGAAAAAAAGGTAAAGCGGGGCTATCTCCCCGTTGTTTGCTTTTCTTCGCGCCATTTTTTTCTTTTCAGCCCGTTTAGACTTTCCCTACCCCCACTATCTGCCCCTAGGTCTACGAGGATGGGTTACTTTAGGTGCCAGATTTTTTTTCACTCGACACGCAATACTGAAACCAGAAACCATCCAAAAAATAGAAGTAAACCATAAACGCAATATGGTCCGAACGCGCGATGGCTGTTTACGCGTTACGACTGGGTCATTAGGGACCTTACGGAACTATGACAGCGACGGCACCGGAAACGTCTAAAAAACAATAGCTTAGTGAGCAACACAACAACTCTGCACGTGAATCACGCTTTTTTGTTTATTTCTTTACCATTCTTGCACAACTACGACGTGATATGACCAATTTTAAAGTCGAATTGAGAACGACAACGTCAAGGCGATAAATTTCACTATTTTTTACGCGGTCCTCTTTCTTCAGTTACAGCCTAGCTAATTTCCCTACTTTCAAGTAACTGTGTGACTTGATATAAGGGCGAAAAAGTTTGAAAGGAAGCAAAGTCTACTGTTTCAGCGACTTTTTCACTGGCATCGCCGTTGTCGGATCGTAAGGTCCTAAATTATCCGTGGGGAGGGCAGGTTTTAACTACTTACTTGCTACTTAAGAAATGTTCGGACGGAAAAACTTTCGAACAAAAAAATATTTGTCAGAAACTTTGTCCGTTCAAACATTTTACTGTAGGAAACTTTTCGTACATTTACATTTATGTAATAAGTAAAGCTTTACAACAAATAAGATATTAAATCAAAGGCTATCTAGACTATGTAACTACACAGCCAACAGCGAAAAAAAACAAAAGCAAACAAGCCAAGAAAATACCGACAGGGAGATGACTTCCTCCCAAATACGTGAACTGACAGGTTTTGAAATCATTCAGACAAGAGGCATGTGTATTTCCCCCCCTCCCCTGACAGGGCCTCCATTGTGAAAGCCCTGGATACAATAACAGTAATACAGGGTCCTGATCTTTGGAAGAACAACGTAATGTGTGCCCGGGAACTTTCACTTGCCTGAATCCGCGCTACAGCAAAGTCAGGGACAGGAGGATCGTAAATTGTTGTGAAAGGGTCATTTGGATCTTGATGGCAAGGGAAAATGTTCTCCTCTTTACTGCGACAGCTATAATCCAGCATTTCACAGAGTGTGTCTACATCCTTTAACTTTGGCGTCAATCCAGCTCTGACGACATTATCACTACAGGCCATGCATTCAACACAGTCTGAACATCCAAGAAATAATAAAAAGAGAAAATGAAAATTACTTTTAGTCTTTAACGAAGAGAAAATAGGTGTCTTTTTGCATTGGTATAGCCTTATCTGCAGGCATCACTGTCCTGTCTTAGAGAATGGGTGGGAGACTGGGGAGAGAAGAGGGAGTGACGTTGACAGTTACGTTGACAGTGACTCCTCCTCCTCTTCTTCTTCCTTACTGGTTCTCAGACCCCCCACGGTCAGTGTAACCATTTCAAACTGAGTTGCCTGCAGCGGAGGCTAGTATTGGTAGCTGTGATTGAAGAACCACTAAGCTATACATTATATTATGCTCCTGTTAAACCTTAGCCTTATTATTAAACTCCAAGTTAAATGCTCATATACAGTATTGAAATATTTAATTATTACTAATTACGTAGGGATGGCTGTTAGCTACACAAGCCTGGGTCTTGGAAACATTTGATCTGATCTCAGAATCGGGAAGCCTCTGTGATGTGGCATAAAAAGTTAATTTTTTGCAGGTTAAAATAATTTTCCAGACGATGATGGACTACTAACTTATACTGCCAGTCTTGAAAATCAAGATGTTGAGGTTTTTAAAGAAACAACTTTGTCACTGGCTAAGACAAAGTAATGGTAACACAAAAACTAATTTTGTGAAGTCCAGGGCAAAATATCCAGAAAACAAACTGTGGATGGAGCCTATCAGTCAAAGTGAGATCATCGTAGTTCTTACCTCCAGCTAAATAGGCATGAGGCAGGTTTGGCCCAAGAAACATGGCTTCTCCAGGTTTAAGGACAATGTGGTTTAAGAAATAAATACAAAAACAACCACCGTCTCCAGGAAATTGGCTGTTTAGCCTCAGAAGAAGTTCTCCACAATAACTTGACAAGTCATCACCTGAGGATTTCTTTTCTGTGATTCTCTTGAACAGTTTATTGAGTTGTAAAGAGATAACAGCAGGGCTGCATGTCATAAGTGCAGTGAAAGCTTTCTTTAGGCCATCAGAACCTGAGAAAAATTCATTCACTTCATTTTTTCAACAGAGACACATGAGGGGGAAGGGAGGTGTCTGTGGTCTGTGAGGGTGATGAAGCCTAACTAGAGTGCAATCTGTATCCTTGACAACCCTGAGAGTGGCATTACCACCACCCAGGTACTGTGAAACCCGACATACTTACCGTACCACATACTTACCAAAGACAGGGGGGGCAAGCTTATTTTCGTGAAGCCGCGATCGACAATTTCTGGTGTCGGTAAATCGTGATTAACTCAAAAACTGTTCTGTGAATTGTGATTGAAGTGCACTTCGTGAAACATGAACTGTCAAAATCCTCTATACTGTACACATACATTGACGATGAATTGAAGAAATTGATCATTAATTTGGCCAAACTATCTTAACTAGCATCTGGCAGCTTGGTTTAATTTCACTTTTGAGTCTTAGATGTAACTTCACAGTTCAGTAGGGAAGTTATAGCCATGCAGAGATCACCCAAACAGGTGGCCGAATTCAAGTTCATGAACTTGTGATGAGACCCCCCCCTCCTACCCCCCCCGCCCCCCCCTCACCCAGGGCCTTTTTGGGGATAACAAAAACAAAATGATAGGCATGCCAAGGATAGACCATGAAATCTACACCACATCCCAGACTAAACAGATCGAAAGCACAACCCCTCACAGTACCAGAAATACCAATGCAGATTCCATACAATTTCTATCTATAAAAACACCCTCTCCTGACTTCTTAGGGAAAAAATAACTTATTACACAAACCTGAAGAACTAGTAGCAACAGCATCAGCTGCTTCTTGTCCAATGACAGCAGCCAGCTCTGGTATGGTCTTCACAAAGCTCTGAATTTCAGCCAATGGGCGAAAACCACAAAGACCTTCAAAAGGGGTCAAAGCTGTTTGTAACAGAAAAGAATGCAATAGGAAGGTTGATGAAATTTTCTGGTAATTATCTTCCCAATAATACAATTGAACCTCCATGTGCAACCACCTCTTGTAAGCAACCACCTCCCATAAGTGACCACTTATCCAAAACACCAAAACTTTCCCAGTCAAAGCCTTACAGTTGGAACCTCTGGTAAATGGCCACCTCCAGTAAGCGACCGCGACCACTTTTTGGGCCTGAAAGTTTCATGATTTTCTATTGTTTTTGACCTCTTGTAAGCCACCACTTAAAGCTTTCTCTGATCTCTATGTCGGCCATGTGCGCTGTGATACTTTGAATATACGAAGAACTTAAGTAACAACATGGACATACACCCACATAAAGTAGATTTGCCTGGACCTCTTCACTAAAGAGGCACCCGGTGGTTCAATTCTTTTAAGCGACCACCTCCCATAAGCAACCTCTCAGTCTTTGCATTTTGGGTGGTTGCTTACGGGAGGTTCGACTGTATTTTCATAAATTCACTTGTTCTTACCAATTGCCATCTCTGGCTTGTGGTTAGGATCTTTGTATATTTCAGGTCTCTCCCTATGAAGAAAGGCAGCATGAACTTTGTTTGGATGTGCTTGAATTGACAATGCTTTATTAACTGATAACACCTTCAACAAGAATGGCAGTTTGCTGTCAAATGCCTCTTTAACTGCCTCACCAAGAACATCTTTATTTGATTCAATCCACTCAGACAACAAAATCTCTTTTCCTTTGCCAAGCACTATTGATGGTCCATTTGGATGCGTTCCCATCCAAAACTGTAAAGAGAATGAATAAAAGTGAACACAAGTCAGTAGATAACTAGAAAAAGCTGAATACTTTTGAATATCTTTTTCGGCTTCTTACATGCATGTACAGATCGACCAGCTTTTAGGACTCTCTGGACAGTGGTCATTGGTACAGATAGATAAAAGATTTTTAAGCTCCAGGTTAATTTTCATTTTTTATATCGACCGAGCTACACGTAAGTTACTTACCAACTGGCCTTTTCTATTCTATCTTTTTAATATAATAATTAATGATAGTGAGTTAAAATATATCAGTCTGAAATCATACCTCAGAATATGGTTTGTCCTCTTCTAGCTTAAATGAGGGACTTTGTTGGGCGAGCTGTGCTACAGTGCTAGTTAAACCAATCTTACCCCAAGCATAACACTGAACAGCACATTTTAATTCGACCACTGCAAAGCAAAAGGAGTTACATAAATTGAGAGAAAATGATGCTATATAACAGCAGCCTTAGTGATAGAAGTCAGTCGCTGAAAAGTTACAAAGGTTGCTGTGATAGGGAGGATGAGGGGTGTACAGCAAGCCAATTTTGAAGGGGAAGGGGAAAGAGAAGAACAGTTTTTGCTTTTAAAGATGCTTATTACATCATATCAATGGGTTAGCACCTTAGTGCGGAAAAGACTAGGGGAACACCACAAGCAAACAACATCTGTTGCAAGACTGTCATTAAGAGGTGGGGGCCAGGTATTTCTCCCAGCTTCAATAAACTTTCCCCCCGGCTACTTTCAAAGGAAAATAGAAGAAAAATAAGACCAAAAGAAACCCCTAGCTGTTTGATACTTCCCCCCCCTACTTGTCGTATTTACCTTAAAATCTTAGTGACGACCCCACTGGACCCCGCTGCTGTTTGGGAAAACTAGCCAAGACCAACCTTGAGATTCAAAACAATCACAGAGGCCATTCACAGCAGGTGCCAGTGTCCAACCAAAACAGAGACAAGGACTATGAACTACTCCTAATTTTAAATAAACTGCTATCAATGTGACTAAAATACATGTTAATCACATGAAAACTCAGTCAGTTTACTGATGAAGACTGTGTGAGACAGTCAAAAGCTTCTTTGCTTTTTTAAATCTAAGAGACCTTGTGAAAAGAGCTTTTGTCACTCTACATTAGGTAAAAACTATATCATTATTGCACTTTTACAAACAGGGTTGACTTCCCTTAAACTGGAGGCTTGTTAGTAAAGATTTTAATCCTAGTGATGTGCCATTTACAGGTAAATTCTGTTAGGCACTGGATCAAAAAAGTAAAGATAAACTACTTAATCATAAAAGAGATAGGGCACCACTCCAGGATAGCTTTTCTCGGTAAATTCTGGAAGGGTTGAGTTTTGCTTTGGCCATAACATGAAGACATAACTAGTCGATCAGAGGGCGATGTTTTCGAGCAGAGAAATTCAATGTCAATTACCGCATGAAGAGAACAAGGTCATGCCCCTGTGGTACCTTCTTCCCAAAATACATAATGCTCAAAACAGCTCGGGACAGCTAAAACAACGACACGTGACATGAACATTTCGCTTAAAGTTTTACGGAATCATTTACGTTCAAATCTGTATTCTGGAGCAAATATTAGCCACCGCAACATTCATCTTTTCTTCGAACTTCTAATTAAACCATAGGATCGATGTTCAGTTTCTGACACTAAACAAACGGCCATGCGAACAGAGGGTGGCCCACCTGTGTTTAAACCTCAAAACTGTCAAAATGGAACAAACATAACAAAATAAGTCAGTGTTAGATCATTCAGTAGCTAAACAGTTACCTTCACAGGAACCGGCTTTTGACGCCATACTATCATGGAAAAACTTTGAGTCAGAATGATTAGTCAGATTTTACGTGGACAGAACGAATTACGACAGGCGTTATTTGTTAATAGTTTACAATCAGAAAAGGCCTGGGTGCTAAAACTTCTAAGGTAGGGTCGGTGGGGGGAGATAGGGCCGTTGTCACACTGTCAAAAGATAAATCAATATTAGATTAGAAACTATATACATTTCAAATATCATATCGTTTTGAATGTAAAAAGATACGTTTTTAAAGTTGCATCGTTTAATTGTTATTTGGTGAAGCATCAGACAAAATTTTCTCTACCCTACCATAGCTAAACAAAGAGCCCTCGGCGGAAGCCTCGATTTGAAACCAACCAAAGCTCATCATGGCGGGCTCCTCATGGCGTCTGGATGTAAGCATGGATAACGATGCAAGAGGATAAATCGAAAAAAAAGTGTCAAATGATTCTCATGCAAGACAAAGATAGGTAAGAGCAAGTGTTAATAACTGCATTTGAATTAAATTTGAGCCACTGCCACTACATTTCTTTTGTATTTTAAAGCTAAAACAGCCTAAGAACGCGAATTTCATTCTTGAGCGTGAGTTGTTGTTGGTTGCCCACTTGAGGAATTCAAGACAGTTCTGTTGATGTTTAATAGACTTGAAATAGTGAATATATAGCCGGACCTTGATTTAAGTTTGCCATTTGACGGAAAATGGTTGTTTATATGACCACTGCGTGAAATGTTAAGCAACTACAGAATGCAAGGCCAATTATTTAAAGAAGCGTTTAAAGGTCTTACACAGAAATAGCTAGGTGGCTCGCTTGTCATAACAAGCGTTTAAAGAACGAGAAAGGTCTAAGACATATATGTATAAGACAGACGTCAACACTCCAAGTATGACTAGAATGCAGAAAACCCAACCCACTAACTATTTAACTAAAAAAACTGCTCCCACAGTACTTTTTCTTTTGGCTTAAATGTTTCAGCAGGCATGCCCATTTGTCCCCCACCGCCCACTCCCTGAACATTTGTCATGAATTGAGTGCTGTGTGTCCACAAAGGGCATTCAGCTGTAACAAGGAGGCGAGGTTAAATCTATAAAAATCAATGATTTAATCCTGGCGCTGATGCCATATATATTATGGGTTGAGTTTGCAGCTGGTTTTCTCTCTTGCTCTGAGAGGTTTTTCTCCGGGTACTCCAGTTTTCCCCTCTCTTCAAAAACCAACTCTTCCAAATTCCAATTTGACCAGGAATCAGGTAGACGAAGAACCAATAATATTAGTGGATGTCGTACCCCTAAATCATTTTTTGTTTATTTATTTGCTTAAAGACCATATACTGGGCTTACTATATATAAAATATTTAGAGATATGAAGAATTATGCAGATGTTGGAAGGTGTTTTCCACCTCAGCTTTTAGCCTTGGTGGATAACAACTTGATCTGCGTAATTCTGAGGGGGACAGGAGGGTTTGTGGTGATGTGGCTTTGCTCGATTTTTGGCGCGCTTTTGCGAAAATTTTTATTTTAAGTTGCAGTATTGCGGTTTGTGGTATTTAGAAATTTCTGGGTGATTTCAAAGCGGTTTGCGGTTTTCTTATGTTATTCTGTGCGGTGTTTATACATAATCCTGTGGGGTTATTTGTATCCCTCTTATGCCTCCCTCAATTCTTAATATCCTACTCAGCTTCATTCAATAATTGCTTTATTATTCATTTAAAATAACTCCAAGTTTAAAAACAAGCTTAACCTGCTTACCTCCATCATTGTTAAAGTGCCCATCACCTAAAATTTTTTATTTTCTTATCTGAAACTATACCTTATTAAAATAACTTCTGCGAAAAAATTTTGCGATTTGAACAAAACCCGATTTTTTTACAATTTTTTGAAAACGTTCTAATTTGCCGCCATTTTACACACCATTCGTCTTAGTCTTGTCTCGGAGTATGACGTACTTTAAGGAACACGTGACCTTATCGACAGGAAAACATTAAGAGTTCTGATAGGTTTTTCTTTTTCAGAAAAACTTTCTTCTTACGAAGACATTGTGATTCAATCCTTACTTGAAATTTATCTTTTTTGTGTACAGCTGGTGAAGGAAGGGTAATGCGAGTTCCTTAATTTACGTCACATGACGTCATATGTGAGCTTGCTAGTTTGCATGATCAGCGGCGCGAGTGTACCACAAAAATGTAGACTTCAAAAAATTGTAAAAAAATCGGCTTTTGTTCAAATCGCAAAATTTTTTCGCTGAAGTTATTTTAATAAGGTATAGTTTCAGATAAGAAAATAAAAAATTTTAGGTGATGGGCACTTTAAATGGTGCATGTTTATTGGGAAGTTTAGGAGAGAAAGGGTGGTTCAGGTATGCAAATATACTCCAAATAGCAGAATAAATGTCCTCCATTGAGGTGTCTTTTGGCTGTTCTTGCTATGTTTTTAGACAATAGTTTGCCGTGAAATGAGTAAAATGTTCCACCATTACTCACTTGTCCCCAGGTCTTTTTGGTTAACAAGACAATAATCTGCAACGTTGCCGCACTTTTGACATCATCGGCTCATTTAAATATGGCAAAATTGTTCCAAATTTGGTCAACAATAACTGGTTGTGATGAATTATGCATGTTCTTTTAGCCAATCGGAAACTGAGAAATATTTTGAATGAGTAATAAATATTGATATGATATTTGACTCTTCTTTTTCTAGTGCTTGAAAAATTCCGGACAAGCTACGCTGCTGGAGGCATGGCTGGACAGCGTCCTTTTAATTTTAACCAAACTGGTTTAAACTTGTTACCTCTACTTGGGAGTCCACTGGGAAATCCCCAGCAGCTTTTGAGTCAGTTACAAGGGTTACGAGCTCCTCGGTCAAACATGGGTCTAGGATCATTTGGTCAAGAAAGTTATGGAAGACAGAGAATGCAAATCACTGATGATCATTTCAGAAGGGAACTGCCGGACTTCGACCGTAGAGAGAGGTCCTTTAGAGAGCCATACATGAGATCTCAGGGGAGGTCAGGGGACAATTACTCTGGCGAGAATCGTGATAGAGTTCATGGGCTGATGGACAGGGAAGTTCCAGTAGATTTCCTGTTCCCAGAAATGGGCTCAGAGAGAAATGAAGAGAAATATGGAAGGGAGAATATGGAGAGGCAAAGTTATGGTATGCACAGCAGAGGCAGATCAAGGTCACCTGTACGATCTAAGGGAGACATAAGAGATAGGCAAGTTAGTCCTAGCGACAGAAAGTATGGATCCAGAAATGACTTAGCCGTTCCCTGGAATGCATTGCTTCGCCGCCATTGTTATCTTGTACCCCCCTTAGATGACACCTATGTTTTGGCATTAAGTGGGAAACAACCAGGATGTCGTGCAGTCTTTATTGGTGGTCTTCCAAGCATGGCTGACGAAGACATTGTCAGGGAGATTTTCAGTGTCTGTGGGCCTATTGAACAGATAAGCTTAAACAGTGTCCGAGCAAGTACACAAGTAAAACACTGCCAATTGCGCTTTGTCAAACTTGACTCTGTTGAGAGGGCAGTAAAGTTCAATGGTCATGTACTGGTCATTGGAGATGGTCGCGACAGAAAAACAAAAATTGGTCGCATTCGTGTTGATTATGACAAACTGCCCGGGGGTAGTGAAGAGGTGCAAAGTGGCATGGTAGTCAAGGAGAAAGTGCAGCTGCCTCAAGATGAGAAGGAACAGGATTTGAGCTTTGAGTTTACACGCAAACAGGCTTTCCATCTTCTGGACCTGATTCGTCATGATCAGGCCTTAACAGAGTCACTTGGTACTTTAACACATTGGTTTGAAAGGGGAGAGTGTAACCGTTCTACAGTGAATGTGTTCCATGCATTGCTTAACACTGTCAATAGTCTGATCAAAAGGTTGGGGAGCAGACGGAAGGAGCATGAACAACGTGTAGAGAAACAGAAACAACAGGCTGTGGAAAGAGGCAATGAAATCAAACAGCAATGTAAGTTAAGTCTTTAATGCTTAACATTTAATGCAATTTGACATAATGATAAATGTCTCAGTAATCACTATTCAGGCATAAAATAATGCATGCAGGAGATTTTCTAATTCTAATCATGTTATATGCAAGGGTGTACCACATCACAGCAGATGTGCAAGTGTTCCTGTGCTTATGTTGAAATATAGTCAAGGTGTGAGTGTTAAGCAAGTAAAATTAATAATAAAAAAATAATAATAAAGATCTGGGGTCAGCAGTTTTAAAGATGGCACATGACAGCCATTTTGAAAGCCTCCACTGACTGCTTTTTCTTTTTGGTAAAGAGTTCCAGTCTCTGATTTTACGTGCAATAAAACTGTGTAAGTATTTGGTTGCTTGGAACAGACTTGAATGAATTTCTTAGGATGGAATTGTGTAGTGCTCTGTCACCTTATAACTTGAGTAATGCCACTTTCCTTCTTTTCTCAAGTTTCTCAGAATTTTCTTGACAATTCCAGGAGTGGTGCTATATTCATTTTTAACAAAGCGTGCAGCTCGTCTTTGCTTACTCTCAATGTCCTTCATCTGTTTTTAAATTTGTGGATCCCATGGGTAACATCCACTTTCAAATCAGAGGTTATGCTAAAGGCAGATAGGCTTTCTCAACATTTTCTGGGCAAATCTTATTTAGATTTGCTAAGCATGAAAGAAGTAAACAACAAAAGTATCATATTTTCTCTTGTAACTGAAACGTGTATATTAAGTGAGATTGTTTATCTTGTCACTTGATAATGATGCGACATGAAACTTTGAAATGGTGTGTACATACAGCTGTATGTGTGTAATGAAATAATCATTAATTTGTGGCTCTTATGTACTACCATTAGGTGAAGCTGTATGCAGGGTTTTTGAAGCAGCAACGAAGCAGAAAGCATGGGATCATTTCACAAAGGCACAAAGGAAGAACATCACCCAGTGGCATGGTGCCATAAAAAATGTAAGTGTACTTAGTACTTTACTGTTATAAAGTTTATTTTGCTGAATCTTCCCAGGCTGCTCCAGTAAAGTTAGATCAGAAGGCAAAAAAATTGTTACAGTGGAACCTTGATATAACGAACCTTTGTATATGGAAGTCCTCAGTATAACAAACGATTTTCTTTACCCCAGTAATAGTAAAGCATGTGGAAGAGTACCTTGATATAACGAAACCTTCTGATAGCGAATAAATTTTGCCAGTCCCTTGGCACTTTGTTATATTCAGGTTCCACTTTATTAAGTAGGCAGCAAAAGATTAGATCATAATCCATGCTTGGGGTACGTATATGTGGGAGGAGAGCTGCCCCATCTTGCATGAGGGAGTCCAGGCACCTCTCCTGGAGTATTGTTAATTTTTGCCGCCCTGAAAAGTACATATTAGTGGATTTTTAGTGCGTGGCCAAGGATATAATTTTGCCATCAGAATGGCACCTTTGTTTCATATTTTCCCCATCTTCTCTATATTTTATATCATATTATGTTTTTTTAATCAAACATAAGCGTTAAGACAAATATGGTACATCAGATTCATTACCCCTCTTTAAATTAATTTTCTGTGAGTAGCCAGCTCTTCTGTGAAATGTAGATGGGAATTGATTGGCTTTCTCGCACCGTTTCTGGAGAACTTTCTTAAAGGTGAAATTATTTACCCTTACAAAATGTCAGTGCAAGATTATGATTTTCTGCTTACAGCCATCTGCCTTGTTATCAGTTGCAGCCATCAACCTTCATTGCCTTTACTGTTATTTAAACCGCTCAGAACAGGCCACTTCTAAAAAAACAGCAGCAACAGCAAATCTTTAATTTCCTTTAAAAGTTATCCAGCTTTTACACAATGACAATGTTACATTAATAGCATGCCCATTTAGCACTCGCATAGAACAATACAGTGAAACCCCGCCTTACGGCCACCTCAGTAATACAGTCACCTTGCTATTCAGCCACTTTTTTAGACGCCTGGCAAAATGGCCATACCTTTTCTTGTAAAAGAAGTCCTTGTTAATACGGCCAAATTTTTTTGTCCTCTTGTTGACCGTACTAACAGGGTTCCACCGTAGAATACAAATTTAAGGGTTGAACCTAATTACAGACTGTTTAAATACCCGCAATCATTGTAGTTAAAGGCATTTGTTTGTTGTATCAAATGTTGATAGCAAGTGTTAACATATATGTATTGTTAGTTGCTTGAGATAATATTCATTCAGATGAAGACTTGAAATGGTCGTTACTCCACAAGTATCTTGTTGAGTTTCTTTTTTCCGAAATTTCCTAAGTAGACAAAAGGAAACGCAGACCATGCCAAAAGCTAAGTTGTAGACTTTTCATCAAAGAGCTAATATTCTTATAGCTGTCATACAACTCTTGGCCAACCTTGTACATCTTCAGGTCTTTTTACTGACTTTCCTTGTTGGGTAGGTTAAAGGTGCTAGAAATTCTATGATGCATTCTTCAACCAAGACTCCTCCTTCTGTAGGTTTACAGCTGTAGTTCTATTGATCGCTTACCCAAGAACATGAACATTACCAACATTTAGTTGTTGTTAAAAGATAAGAATCATAATATCAGGGAGGTAAGGGTGGTGCATTGCTGAGAGCACTCACCACCCACCAGTGTGGCCTGGGCTCAAATCTCACAGTCAACTCCACATGGGTTGTGTTATGTACTCTTTCTTGCTCCATGAGGCTGCTGGTTTCTCTCTCCTCATTAATCAATATTTTCAGATTCCATATCATTTGAGAGCAAGGATGGCACAGTGCTGAGAGTGCTCACTTCCCACCAATGTGACCTGGGTTCAAATCCCGATGTTGACGCCATATGTGGGTTGAGTTTGTTGTTGGTTCTCTTCCTTGCTCTGAGAGGTTTTTCTCTGGGAACTCTGGTTTTACCCTATTCTCAAAAAACAACACTTCCAAATTCCAATTCGACCAGGAATCAGGTTGGCCAAGAACCACTTTGTGGATGTCCTGCCTCCAAATCATTATTTATTTATTTACCAGTCTAGGATACATTAGGCAAAGAAGCACTTTAAGGATGTGCTACAACTAAATGGTTATTGATTCATCATTTTATTAAATACCTTGCCACTTTTTAGTTTTTCATTGACAAGTGTTACAAAATAATGTGAACATATTTTCCCCCGCCTCTCTTTGATAAGTATTAGTTACATCTGTGCGTGTATGGGTGATAAGTTTGACTGTCTCCTTTGGTTTGTTATTTGAAAGTTGCCATGGTTAACACTTGCTGGATTGTTACTTAAAACAAAGTACATGCTCCTTGCATTACACAGCAATTTCCTAACTGGAGTCTGATAGTCCGTGCAGAACACAAGAAACAGCTTTTAGTACCAAATGATTTCCTTGAGAAACTGATGTTTCTCAGTTGTTTAGACTTTTAAGGCCTGTTGAAGGTTTGATTGTTATCACCACACACCCACATTTTGGCAGTAACGTAGCATGCTTCACTCAAGTGCCATTTATTTTTCAGTGTGGCGAGTGTTCATGGGGTGTATTTACTTCCCACAGGGAAAAAAAATGTTACATCCTTCAGTGATTTTGTTATCTCCATGTCCTGTGTCCCTGAAGCATAAAAATCCTCAAAGACACAAAATAATTTGTTGTATTCATCCCATAGGACGCAGAGAGAGATCAATTGATCAATCTAAAGATGTTTTTCTAGAATCTCCTGTTTGTGTGATTTCTGTGCCTGTGCTGTTCTTGTGGCTGTTGTTAAACGACTCATTTCTTTTAGTCTTTGTTGTGCTTTACAATAGAAGGAGTATTGTACAGTACCGCAAGTGATCCCCAACCGCAAATGATCCCGAGACCGCAAATGATCCCCAAAATGGACCGCAAATGATCCTCGACCGCAAGTGATCCCCAAAGACGACCGCAAATGATCCCGAAAGAAAAATAGGAATGGCTTAGACTCGAGTTAGCGGATCGTCGTGACGATTTTATTATTAATACAAAAAGTAAGATTAAACGCTAAATTTCAGTTCTTAAATAAATACGTATATACATGAAAAAAAACTAAATGAAAAAAATCATTCAAGTGTAAAACGAAGTCGGTAGGCAACACACGACTTTTAGCTCATGCCAAAATGCTGCTTGTTCTAATGACTTTTTTTCTCTGGCGGGTAGATTACACCTGAAAGCATAGGCGTACGGGCCGGGGGGGCGAGGGGGGCTGCAGCCCCCCCAAAGTTTGGGCAACTCAGATTTTTTGGGCAGCACGAGAAAATTTGGGCAAAGCCAGTTTTTAAAGACGTCTCCATGTTTTTAGTATTATTTTGAAGAGATAAATATATTCTATTTTAACCTGAAGTCGGCGTAATAATACAGTTACATTGACACTAGAGTGTCTGCCTAGCACATGACGAGTTTCTGGTTGTAAGGGAAAGGTATCATATGCTGATTTTCTTTTATTGTTGGGCACTGTACTGCAATGGGCTATCTAATGGTGAATTTATTAGAATAAACTTCCGCCTAACTTTCTAGAATCATCTCCGCTCGTAGAAGAGCGTATGGCAGATAGCACCAGCAATGGGTCTTAAAGTGAAGAAGTGGCTGATTAATTCTCAGTTTGAATTGCGAGAAGAATCTTGATTTTTTAAAAAAGTACATCGAGCGGTTTAAAACTTATTCAATAATTTGTTAAAGTAGACTGAAATGCTTACAAAACCGCTAACAAGAGCGCCATGATACATACTAATCAAATCCTTCTTTGTAGCAATTGGCCGGGGCTATCTCCATGATCTATCACCCACGTTTTTGAAAAGATTGAAACTACTATGAGGTGAAATTGCATGTCAAAAGTGCATCGTTTTCTACAGATAACGGCCAAACATTTTTCCTTTTTTTTACCGTATTTCCAACGATAAAAACTTTATCCCAAAATATCTCGATAATGCTCTTACAGATTCCGTTTTAACGTCACGAACATCGAGGCGACTATTGGAGGAAAAAGCTCCTGTGATCGATTTTAGAAGAACAGTTCCCAGAGAGAAATATTGCTGCAAGTATAATAAGTAATGGCTCCATTTCGTTGCTACAACAACTCCGATGTCATTGCAACCCTGATCACAACAAATTTTCATCTTTATCTAATACACCTGTGGTGGCAACTTTTCCAAATGTTTGTTTATGGCGACGTAGTTTATGCTCAAACTTGGCAGGTATTGACCCTGAAAAACTGTATGGAGCCATTTTCATATGCCAGTACGGCCTATCTTGTTACATCGGCTCTCGTTTCTGTTCGACTGTTTTGTAAAAATTTGGGCAACTTGCAAAAATTTTTTGGGCAAATGGTTTACCGCCCCCCCTGGCAAAAAATAGCCCGTACGCCTATGCCTGAAGGAAAACGTTTTGACTGAGCAAATGTGATTTTTGCCGCTTATTTCATACTGAGAGGTCATGACACGCATTTTCTGCGGTTATTGTTGTTTGTGGTCGGCATGATTGTTGCCGCGGCCCTATTGTTCTCGCTATCGCTTGTAGCCGGAGCGTTACTCAATGAGCATTTCTTTCACCTCTTTTGAAATGCAATGCTTCTCGTTCCGGCTAAATAAGGGTTTTAGGTTGTTTAATTTTCTTTTAAGTGCCTCATGGATCCGAACAATTATAAGCGACTTTCTTTTAGTCCGTGAATGTGACGGTTCCTACGATGTTTTGTCACGCGATAACTACCGCTTGCCTCGCTTTTGCGTTTCTCATTACCAGGTTTAGATTCCTGGTAACTGTCTACAGCAAAGGCAAAAAAATGGATATACATATAAGCGTCAATATAACTATTCGCAACATGTTCATGAGCTGTAGGCAAGTTGCTCTTTCAAAATTAACCGAAAACTGTGGACATCGATAAGTTCGGTGGCATTTTGACGTGTGTTTATTTCAAATCACGTCTTGTTTTTTAACGGGCACTGCCAGGCCTGGGGCACTCATAAGTTACTAACCAATGTCTTGCTGTTTATCACGTAAAATTTACACTTCAGAGAAAAATCAAAACTAAATATTCTGAAAATTAATTCGATGCTTCTGAAAAGATATGTAGAGGGTGCCCGGCTTTGTATTCGTCAGTAGACAAGTTGAGCTTGGGCGTTAAAATAATAGAGTTTTTTCTGCGTAACGTCCTGCCTGTCTTAAATTTTCAGCGACGAAACAGTTCTTGAGAGAAAATTGAAGCAATTGACAAAGGAAGAAGTATACGGTTGATACCATATCCTCTTCAGATTTATTCTACTTTTTTTTCGCCTTGTATAAATTGACCTGAGATGTAGCGTCCTCCTTCCCTTTTTCTTTAGAAGGTGCGAGAAAAAGGTTCCTTTTTTATAATCAGTCCTTTTTTGTAATCAGTCCCATAAAATCCATTCCATTCCTCAAGTTTTCACGGGATCATTTGCGGTCAAGTTTGGGGATCACTTGCGGTCGAGGATCATTTGCGGTCCATTTTGGGGATCATTTGCGGTCTCGGGATCATTTGCGGTTGGGGATCACTTGCGGTTGGGGATCATTTGCGGTACTGTACAGTATATTACTGTAATTTGGAGTTTTGGAGTCTGTCTTCAGATTAACTGTGTGGTTACAAAAGGCCCTGGGACTCATCGTTTTTTGAACTGGGGCTCATTGGTTCTGGACTGGGACTCATAATTTTTCACAAGATGAGTCCCGGGACTCACCATAACTATTATTTTGTAACGGAATCACTGATCCTTTCCAGTCTAACCCCATCCCTTCAAAACCATTCGAGTGCAAAAAAGTAGCACATCACTGTTTACGTGGTCATTCTGTAGAGTACGACCATCCAATAACTGCTGTGGCTACATTCCCTCACTCCTTGAGTGAATTGGAAGACTGTGAAGGTAAGTCAATAGCAGTTCTCACTGTTATCATTGTGTGCCGTCCCCAGGAGATCAAATCAGCCAAAGAGGCTGAGATCGAGAACCGTGTCGAGGTAGGTATGGATCTGGATGATGAAGTGCCAACGCTTGGCGGGCTTATCGAGCAACCTGCACTGCAGACATCAGAAGAGGCGGAAAACCAACAGGATCAAGAGGAAGATCAAACAAGCCTACTGACGACAAAAGCCAAGAAGCGGCGAGTGGAAGCGTCAGGTACTGTGTCATTACACCACAGGCATCTATAAATACAAATTTACTCCTAAAGGTGGGTGAGTTAATTATGCACAGTGAAAACCCTTTGATTGGTAACGGGATGGAATTCGATGTGCTGCCGTTAAGAAGCTGTTAGCAATATGCCTGGTCTCTCTTTGACCAAGAGGACTGTTCCTGATATACAATATCACTTGTTTGAAGCTGGTTGTAAGAGATTCAACTCTGTTGATCTTTCTGTTGAACCAGGTACGTTTTTCCAGCTTCTTCCCCTCAAGGGTTACGTGAACGTACAATATGAAGCTGCTCTTGTGAGCTAAGTTTTTTGATCAGCTGGAAGCTTAATACTGATGCTCACTCAAGCAAAATTGGTCTGATCATGCCGGTAGTCGGAGTTAAGGACAATTTAAACTACTTTTATAGCTCAATGCTGCAGTTATTGTCACTAAGTACAGGTTCAATGAGAACGTGACTAGAGCTCTTATTTTTCTGTAGCTTGCGTCGGAATCTTCACTAGACACATGTGATGAGCGCAGAGCAAAATTTATTTCAGTAGTCGATTAATCACGTTTTCAAAACCCTCATCGTGTCATTTTTTTCTTGATATCCTTCTATTTTGTCTTGATTGTAACTTGCAAAGTCATCTTGGCTACCGCCCTTAGGAAGTAATAAGTCAGTAGAAGTAACATATCTTAACAGTTAAGTGTCAACTCTTCTGTGTAATCTGTCAGTGGATATATCTGTTAGCCTTTGAGCTTTAACCCTCTCTCATTACAGACGCTATCATTTTCTGATTTTCCCTTACCGAATCAATAGATGGCACTGCCTTAATTGGATTTACACTCCACATTTTGTAACCTTTAGTTAGGGGACAACCTGCATGAGACGGAAACAAGTTATAATCTTAACTCCCACTCGACAATGTATTTGTATCCCAAGATGAGACCCTCGATCATGGTCCATCTTCTCCCTTATTCTTCCCTAGGAAACATGTAGAAGCAGGTAAAGAGAATTAGGATGTTGACATCAGGGACACCGGCCGTTAGAAGACCCTCTAAGCGGTTTACGGTTGGTTCGCCAATGAGTCGTTTCGCCAACGTCCTGTTCGCTAACTTCTGAAGTCGTTTCGCTTATGTGTTGGGGCAGTACCTTAACTGCTTTTACCTGATCAGTGGCTGAAAGAACGAAGTATATACATGCGTATAACATTTTGTTTGTGTCATGGCTAAGAGAACGAAGCATATACAAGGCGAAGCCTTCGTTTCCCTTCTTAGCGAAACAACATAAGACATTAGCGAACGGGACGTTGGCGAAACGACTCGTGACACGTAGGCGAAACAACCGGCCACCCTCTAAGCTACGGCTCGAACCACAGGCAAATGCTAAATATTTGTTAACTTTATTACAAGTGCAGTCATTGAGTCGTCGTACTTCTTCCCTCATTAGAGACCTTTAGATTCAAGGACGAGAACGACTACGAGTGCGAGATTTGACTTCAAGTTTTTTCACGTATTCTCAAAATATAGACTCCCCGGAAAGCTTCATTTTACCATTTTTCACTAGAAAAGTTAGCACCGTTACCTTTAGTGAAGGAGGTTGCACCCTGAACTGATTGCAAAATAATAAAACTTTTAACATTTGATAACTTGTTTCCGCAACTTCGACATTCTCGCTAAAACTCGTAGTAGAGTGACGACGGCTACCACGTTTTCCCGCCAAAATGACGCTGGTTCACGCGGGTGCAGTACTTAGTATTGAGAAAAGCTCGTACTCGTAGCCGTACTCGTCTTAGAATCTAAAGGTCTCTATTCATTTGCATTTAAAATGTGGTATCTGCTACAGAGAATTGAGGTTTTAACAGTAGGCATTAAAAGGTTTATTAATTGTATTTATCCTGTAGAATCTGATGCTGACTCAGCGGATTCCCTGAGGTTAGAGAATGAAAAACTGCGAACGCAAGTTGAGAGTTTGAAGGCAATTGCTGAACAAAACACAAGTTTGATGTGGTCCATGCAGAGTTATCAGTACCAGGCAGAGGAGATAAGACAGCAGTACAACAACATGATAGCAGCTAAAGATTATGAAGTATGGAAACCCTGCATGAAAATTCTTAGTCTTTGAAGGGTCTGAACCCATTCATTTTTGTGCTAAATAAAACTATGGCACCTTGCAAGGAGCGCCTCCTTTTGTCTTCTTGATTGAGAAGGAGGGTAACTGGTCAAGTCGCCCGAAAGTTATCTCGCCTCAAACCAGAATTAAGTCGCCCGAAATGCTGAGTCATGTCGCCCGAATTTTCAGGTGAAGTGCATAGAGAAACAAAGTGAATTTTTGTGAAATAAAGAGTGTGTGTAACATATCTCGTTCTTTAAACCATCATTAGACGAAACAAGCGGAATGAATGTGTAACATACCTCGCTCTTTAAGTGATGATGAGACGAAACAGGCGATATATTAAGCTTATGTGTAATATCTCTCGCTCTTTAACCATTGATGAACAACGAAACAAGCGCGATAAATGAGTAATATATCTCGTTCTTTAATCTTCGATGGGACGAAACAAGCGCGATAAATGTGTAATGGGAATGCTATAGGATGTTGTTGAGCGTGATAAGATTTCGAGCCACCTAATTCAGCATTTCGAGCGATTTGACTAAAATTGTCGGGCGACATAACTCTGATTTCGGGCGAGATTACTTCGGGCGACTTGACCAGGAGGAGAAGAGGACTCTCTGCCTGAATCGCGTCAAGCCTTTGAAGTCACAGCAACCCGGATTTCTGGACTAGTCAATCTTGTTTTCTCTCGTCAAACTGGTTTTTTAATGCAAGCATCCATTTGTTGATAAAATTGCTGGTCATGACTGAGCCCGCCGTACTAAGCGCATGGCTCTTAGGCCTGGATTGGAAACTTTATCCAACCAGTATGCAGGTCTCGATTCATGCAGTCTTTCTCGAGTACAGCAATATTGATCGAACAAGCGAAAGAAAGGCTCTGCTGGCTGGTTGAAACTATCTTTTAAGGCTAGTAGAATCCATCTTCGCCACCCTCTGAACTGAGCGCGAACTACTGTAACTATTCAAAGCATAATAGAAAACACCCAAGCACGGCAAATTTTTATAACATAATTGATTTTAGCTGATTTTAGGGAAATAAAACTCTAAATACATAAAAAAATACGAGGTATTTTTTTTAGATGAAAGCTGTATTAGGCATATGGGCAGTTACACGGTATCCACAGTAGAAGTAATTATGAAATTTACCTTTTTTTCCTTCCTGTTAGATATTTAGTCTGACGAAAGCTCTGCAAGATGCGAATATCCTCACTGATCCAAAGGTAGTGTAAACGCATTGATATCCTGTCCTTTTGTTTGAACCCTTCAAGCTCCAAGGATGATAGCCATTAAATTTATCCTGGTTTGTAATCCAGAAAAGACATCGCAATATAGGACGTAACCATACAAGATGGATTCTCTTGGCGTGTTTTCAGCAACTTGTGTTTACTACTTTTTCGTTTTCGTTGTCTTCTCTCTTAGAGGTCATGGGAATAAAGTCATAATTACGGTCATCTCGTCTGAAGTTATGTCGCCCGTAACCAGAATTATGTTCAAAACTCAAGTGAAACCGTTTTTTGACCAAGAGTTAAGGCAATGGATAATCGTGTTAATTGCGCTTTTTCCAGTAGCAATTTGTTGTTGCTGTCGCTGTTTATTTATATTTTTTAGCAACGGTTTTTTAACTGCGGCAAGTTTAGGTCAGTTTATGGTAGAGCGCTGGTCCATTTGGCGGGAGTTCGTAGGTTCGACTCCCGGGGTTGGACCAAACCTCAGCTAAACCTCACAATCTTCACAAAGGCGATTCGATTCCCCACCTCCTTCCCATCTCATCTTGTTTGTAGGCTCGTTCTCAAAACAAACGAAATAAAACTTTATAAGAATGCAAGACTTTTCTTCTGATTTTCAGAGAGCGATGGCTGAGTTCGAAATTCTAGTTGACCTGGGCAAGGATAGCCATAATGTCACAGACATGGACCTCGATACAGAAGAACTCACAGATGATAACGAAAACGGCAACGAGAACAGCAAGCTTCGGATGCAGGATGAAATTGGTGGAATGGAAGAGTTTACAGAGAAAAGCGCAGAAAATGGAACTGGTGTGGATCCTGCAGATGGTAGTGGAGGTTTGCAGAGTGACAGTTTGGGTACAGAGCTGGTGGAAGTTAGCAACAGTAAAGAACTTTGTCTTGAAAGTTATCCTGTGCAGGAGGTACCAGTGAAAGAGGGTGATATTGGGTACCCTGTTGAAAGTGAAAACGTAGACATTGAAACAGAAGAAAAGGGGATCAAAGAGGAAGTGACAGATGAGAAGCTTGATGAAGGTAAGGTGGCAGATGACAAAAAGAGCAATCAAGCTGAGGAAGACATAAACACCGAGGGGAAGGCGGAGGTATTTGTCGAAGATGAGAAGAGCCACGAGGAAGATGCGGAAAAACAAACCGGTCAGGAAGAGAAAGAAACTGAAAAAATGAAAGAAGTGAAAGATGACAACGTAGAAGAAGAAGGGAGTGGCCGCTTTGTGGAGATCGATGACGAGCAGTTTGAAGTGATTGATGACATGGATGAGGAAGACAGCGATGATGATTACAAAGAAATTACGGCTGTGAGCAGTTCTCTGCAGGTCTTTGATAACAGCGCCCAGAAAGTTCAAGACAATGAAAAGGCTGAGTATATGAACAGTGACCGTGCAAACGAACAGCTTGCGAGTGATTCAGCTAATTACGCTGAACATGACTCTAGTACCCAAGAAAAAACGCAACAAAGCGAAGATGATTACAAAGAAGTCAACGCGCAGCAGCAGGTCACCACCGACTCATCAAATTACCAACTAAATTACGATTCTCAGTATCAAGCCTGGCTCTCAGCAGCTGTGAACAGCCGTCCATCTATGAATTACGGACCCAACCAGGTGCGCATCTCCGGAGAGGAGCTCGTACTTGTTGGTATTATATGTTCCTACCTCCAGCTTTGCCCCGCAGGAGCTACAAGTGGCGAGATACGAGATTACCTGTCGAGGCAGTTCAAGGAGCGAAGAAGGGATGTGGTAGATAGATTGCTTTGCAGCTTGCCTGTTTTGTTCAAGGCAGAGGATGCTAGTGGAAATGCCAAGTGGAAGTTCTGTGGATTAGAGAAGTTGGCTGAGGCAAAAGGCGAGAGCTGAAGAAACGTACAGAGACACCAAGCAGACATGGCTGCTGTTCATGCATATGTCGTATCTGATAGCAACTTAAGACGGAATCCACCAGGACTTTGAGTAATTTTGATTTTCAGTGGACAATAATCTTGTACCAGAATAATTTAAGCATACTGCATTCTTTCTTACATTTTTCAAGGGCTAAAGATGTAATAAAACATCTGTAGTAACACCAAAAGAAATTTATTATGGGAGCACCAAATTACATCTTACAGGTGAAATTTTCAGAATTTTACCTGTGTAATCACAATTCATGTGAAATTTGACGTTCATATTCTCGGACTTCCATGAGAAATTTTCTTCGGTGTTACTACAGATGATTTATTACATCTTTAGTCCTTGAAAAATGTACAAATGAATGCAATATTGTGTGAATTATTCTGGTACAAGGTTTTTGTCCACTGAAAATTAAAATTACTCAAATTCCTGATGGATTCCTTCTTACTCTCTAGTGGTGCTTACGGTATATAGGTCCGTACTGTGTACAAACTGCGTAAAGCCTGTAGCATCATTTGCATGTAGTGTTGTTTATTAACGCGTACGAGGTTTTTGAGCTTGTGATACATTTGATTAACACGAGGTTATTCTGCCTGTTATTTTGCCGCCGTATGAGTAATAAAACTCAATCTTATTCTAGACGGTTGTATAACTCTTCTACAGCAGCGGTGATAAACGGAAAACTCGTAACAGAGGTCTTAGCCCTGTCATCGTACTCTTTATATGCGATAGATCATCCACCCCTGGGCGTTAAACAAGTCCCGTTTGTTAGTCTGCGAATACAGCCGTCTCACCTCGCACCTTTCCGATCGGAATGTTTCGCAGGAGAGACGTCAACAATAGAAATTTCACACTGATGACGTACAATGTATCTGGAATCTGGTCAGGAGCTATGATTGATCGACGTACTAATTATGTTCTGTACGAATGACAAGCAAGCGACCAAAGGACGTAAAGGTCAAATGGAAACGCGATGAATCTACTACAAAATAGTAATTATTCGTTGAATATATTCTTTTTACCATAACTAAGTGATTTCTCGCCGAATTGGATTGGTCGAGAGCTATGTTCGAAAACAGCACAGGCGTGGAAATGACGTGATGGTGGCGCAATTTGTTTTTCTCTTGCGCGCGCGATTTTCCGAGAAACTTAACGAAAATGGACGTCTATGAAGCAGTTTTCTTATCAAAAATACTATTCACTGTGCAGATTCAGTTATGTCTGCTTGTCATTCAGTTATGTCCGTTTGTCAATCAATTATGTCTTCTTGTAATTCGATTTTGTCCGCTTGTTTTTTTAATTATGTCTGCTTAACATTCAATTAATCTGTAAATTATGGCGTACGATCCCTGCCAAAAGTTCATGATTTGTAGTCGCTTATTTAAATTTTCAACTTCAAAACTTTAATTTTACAACTGAATTCAATATTTTATACCCTTCCTTTAGAGTTCACATCATGACGTCATCATCTTTGTTTATGAAGTACCATGCATATTTTGGCATTATATTAATGTTGACGAAGTAAGTTGAGTCACTCAAAAAATCATTACAAAGTGAGATGGAATTATTACAAATTGCGACAGCTTAGTTTATTACAAAGCGCGATGGACTTTACAAATTGCGACAGCTTTTTTATTACAAAGTGCGGCACGGTTTATTACAAATTGCGACAGGTATAACAAAGTGCGATGGATGTATTACAAAGTGCGATGATTACTACAAATTGCGACAGTACACTTGGTGGTAATTAACTGGCGAGGCAGGGATATAAGGAATACAATGCAATTACTACGCACACTTCACTCAGTCAATGGCATCAATTAGCACGTAAGATATATTGAGGGTCCTCAATAGGATTCTTCATCCCCGTAATCCTGAGCCCAAATTTCGTGCAATCCCTTAATCCCGATGATTTCCTTTTTTGGTATCCCACCTCCCGCGATACTTTCAATCCCAAATCTCGCCCGGATTTTGCTTTAAGGTGGCTCCGTAATTAATACTAGAGCATTTTGCTGTGCCAAATTTTTCGTCATAACTTTTTCGATTTTAACGCGATGGCTGCGAAACTTTGCAAAGAACAACAGATATCATTCGGCAATAAAACGAAATATTCCGATTTCATTGATGGTAAATATTTCTTGAGAAATTAGCGCTTAAAAGGACCCTACTGTTCAAAGAAAATCGCGTCTAGTAAAAAATTTTGCTGATACTTTTTACTGAAATTTCTGGTATCGGCTTCAATTGATATAATAAATATGCCAGAGGAATTTCAGAAAAATCGTAGGAGCAGAAGTCCGTAACTAAAAGTCGCTCAAAATTCAGCTGTGAAATTGTTTTGGAATTTCAAAAGTAAATTACTATCAGGAAGAAGGAGCCACCAGTTTGAATTTTCGGGACAAGTAAATTCAGTGTTTGCTAATTCTTAAAACAAAAGCCGATTGCCTATCGTGCTATTCTTTAAAAGGTACTTTTTAGTTTTAGAAGCACTATAAATTGCTCCAAACCTTGCTCTGAAGTAGAATTACTTGTTCTTTGACAGTTTTAAAATATCCCTTGGCAGTTTTGGCTCAAACTCCTGCTGTATACATTTTGATGTATTGCAATGCATTTTCAACGACTTGTAGTGCTGTTCGTTGCTTCCAACACAGGAAAAAAGTATTGAGATTGGACGCTACCTCGTATCAGAGCTCAGATAGAACTGTCCAACACCTTTGTTTATGACTACAAAATGAGCACGAGCTGCAGTTCTGCGAGGAATTCTCACCTCACACAGGGGGGACGAACGACAATGATGACCATGCCTTTGAACCGAATAACATCACAGTGCAAAATAAAATTATCGCAAAAATACTTCCCGTGAATAAATTTACAACTCTGAAATTTTTGTCACTCCTTCCTTCAATGAATGGGTATTTTTTTCCTTGATTATTATTTTTTGCTCTGCAATACATGTTATACAGATCGGTTCACAGACATAGGCATCATTGTCATTCGTCCCCCCCTAGCTGAGGTGCGAATTCCTCGCAGAGCTGCCGCTCGTGCTCATTTTCTGGTCATAAACAAAGGTGCTCGACAGTTTTGTCTGAGCTTCGATACAAGGTAGCTTATAATCCCAATACCTTTTTCCTGAATTGGAAACAACGTACAGCAGGAAAAGCCGTTGAGGATTCATTGCAATACATCAAAATGTATGTAGCAGGAGTTTGAACCAAAACTGCCAAGGGATATTTTAAAATTGTCGAGGAACAAGCCATTCGACGTCAGAGCAAAGTTTGGAGCAATTTATAGTGCTTCTAAAACTGAAAAATACCTTCTAAAGAATAGCACGATAGGCAATCGGCTTCTGTTTTCAGAATTAGCAAACACTGAATTTACTTGTCCCGAAAATTGAAACTGGTGTCTCTTTCTTCCTGATAGTAATTTATTTTTGAAATTCCAAAACAATTTCACAGCTGAATTTTGAGCGACTTTTAGTTACGGACTTCTGCTCCTACGATTTTTCTGAAGTTCCTCTGGCATATTTATTATATCAATTGAAGCCGATACTAGAAATTTCAGTAAAAAATATCAGCAAAATTTGTTACTAGACGCGATTTTCTTTGAACAGTAGGGTCCTTTTAAGCGCTAATTTCTCAAGAAATATTTACCATCAATGACATCGGAATATTTCGTATTATTGCCGAATGATATCTGTTGTTCTTTGCAAAGTTTCGCAGCCATCGCGTTAAAATCGAAAAAGTTATGACGGAAAATTTGTCACAGCTAAATGCTCTTGTATTAATTACGGAGCCACCTTAAAATCCCGAATCTTGAGATTCAAGTAAGAGAAATCCCGGACACTGAAAAACCAATTGACGACCCTTTATATTGACATTTTGATTAAAGGAACTTAACAACGAAGCTTGAATAATATATAGAGTTAGACACTGTATTTGAACTGGATTGACCAAGAAGTAAAGACATAAAATACATGGGGTTACTTTGAAATTAAGTCAATGTTTTGGAGCGCAGTGCACCGTTTGACTTTTTTTTTTCTCATGACGTGCAACGCGCTTAAAATATGGTTCGAGTTATCGAGGGTAAAATTATATAGAAAAGATCTGAAGGGAAATATAAATTACTCCGAGTTAGCGGGAAGTTCGAGTTATCGAGGGTTCGAGTTACCGAGGGTGAAATTGCAGTAAATGTATGAAGGAAATCCAGGGCAAATCGATTTTGGTTCGAGTTATCGGGAGTCGACTGTCACTTGAAGATTTTGCGCTTGTTCTAAAAATAAGAGACACTGCGGAAAGCTTCATTTTGCTTTTTTCACCAGAAAGGTATTATGGTTATTTATACTGAAGGGGGTTAAGCCCTCTCTCGATCGAAAAGTGATAACATTTCTTACATTTGATAACTTGTTCCCACCACTCGGACATTAGGGAGTTTAAGATACGGAGACTACGGACTACGAACTACGGCTGGACGAGCGTTGTCGTTTGTTTGTAGCACTGGGCTGAGTCGTGCAAATATAGAACGTTAAGATTCCACTACAGACGGCAGACTACGAGAGAAGATGCGGAGAGGGAAACAACACGCAAAAATTTTCTTCTTTTTACCACAGTTCACAAAAATGCAAGTCCGTTTTGCATGTGATCTTATCTTTAGAACAATGAACAAATTCTTCCATATTTGAAGGAAGCAATTACGTACAAGTCGATTCGCGTACAAGTTGATTCGCCTACAACTTTACTGCTTGTTCCATCACCGTAGCTCGGGTGAAATTGGTAAACAAAGTTTTGGTTGCACAGGTTTTATTTTTTTCGCCCATGAATACTTATGTAAAATATTAAAGAAATAGACAGAAATAATAATAGCTCATTTATTAGATTTAGAAGATGGACTTCTCCGACTACTTATCTGATGTAGTTTGAAGTATTGAAATGCCCAGTTTCGATTGTCTCGAAGATGTTTACGTCATTTTCATTCAGCAAATGCGATACAAAAACTCGCATAAACAAAGGTCACACAAGTAGAAAGACACACTAATCTGAGCAAAAATCGGAGCAGAAATTAGACACAACTTACATATTTCGCTTCCCTCTCACTTAAAGCAGGCAAATTGAACCTTTTTTACGAAAAGACGAGATTCTTGAATTACCGAGACGGCAAAATACGAGCAAAATGTTCTCCGT